ATTACCTGTTTCTGGTTTACGGGTGTTTCGAAACCACACCCATTCATTAAATCGGGTATGTATTGGGCAACTATCTCTGCAGTTCACTTTTTCAAACGTGGATTCTGGAACACCAATCCTGAATGACGAATAGTCTCTCTTGGTTTTTGGAACAATCTTTTCAATTTTGATATCCTCAGAACCACAAATTTTTTTCACGTGTTCCCTTATCGCATCTACTGAGGTTTCAAGATGGAGTGACCACACGTGTAAGAACTTCTTCTTCTGTATAGCCTGGAACGAACCGATTTGGGCGTTTCCTCCAGTTTGGATTGCCTTAAGATGGGCCTTCTTAGACTTTTTATGGCCACCTACTACTTTCCATTCTTCAGTCGCAGACGTTTCAATTATAGTTGAATCATCTTTTTCTGAATTGTTTACTTCCAGTGTGGAAACAGCCTTTTTTGCCCGCTGCATAGCTCGGCGCGCGCGCTGCGTTATTTTTTTCTCTGTTATAGCGACCGTATCTGAGGATATCGGTGTCTCGCTTGCACTTGGGACTGTCAGTACCTTAGTCTGTACGTCGGTCTCGCTGGTCGACTGCCCAGCCCGCAATAGGTCGATTGTTCTAGCGGGCATTTCTTCGATTACCCTCTTCAGGTCACTTATCGTCGAAAACAATTTCTCAATAATGCGCTGCTGATTTTCTATTTTCTTATTCTGCGCTTCAATTAGGGTCACTTTTTTTTTGCGGATGGAAAATCATCTAATGACGCCTTTCGCTCTGGGTGGAGCGTAAGGGAGTGTCAGACTTTTACTGACTAAAAACCATCCGTGTTCCTTCAGTGCCCTTACGTTCCGGAGCCGCGGTATCTCTTTCGAACAGCCCGCAGCCCCGGCAGGCGTCGGCCCTTGCGGGCCCCTTCACGCTGTCTGTCAGCTCTTTGAGGCGCGCGTGAACAAAACGCGCCGTCGACACGGCCTGTCGTCGTTAGACGGACGACGCAGCTACCCATTGCTCGCCGTCCACAGGCCCGCGCCTACGGTGGCCGGGGGCCACGACGTAGCCCCCGACGCCCGAAGCGTCTCCCGCGGCGGCCGGGGAGGAAAGCTGCTGCTCTCTCCTTCTCCCGCTCCGCCACCTCCTTCGCTAGCATCACTGCTTCGCAGAAGGTGGTGACGGCATCCCATTCCGTCTCGCTCCGGACCATGGCTTCGACCAGGGCCGGACGCGAGAGGTCGCCGCCGCCTATCGCCGCTACGAGGACACGGCGGTGCTCCGCCCAAGCAGGGCACACCTCTACGGTGTGTTCCACCGTGTCCTCCGGTCCATCCTCGCAGTGGGAGCACCCGGGCGTTTCCTCCCGCCCGATTCGGTGCAGGTACCTCCCGAACACACCGTGTTCGGTGAGGACCTGCGTCAGGCGGAAGGTGAGGACGCCGTGGCGTCTCTCAAGCCACTCCTCAAAGAGGGGTCTTATCGCCGCTATAGTGGCGTGCCCAGCACGGGGTTGCGACAGTCGCTGTCTCCATGTCGCCATGAGATCGTGCTGGAAGTCTGTCCGCTGCGCGACAACTTGCCGCGGCAGCGGGGTTTACCCACGGCACAGTGCCTCCGCGCGCCATTCGTGCAGGCGCGCGAGGACTATCGCCTCCAGATCCCATGGCGGCAATCCGGCGCAGGAGGCTCGCCGCCTCGCGGGAGATCGTGCGGTAGCCGCGAAACATTTTCACGGCAATCACCTTTTGGGGCGCGTTCAGGTGGTGGACGGCAAGCCGCGCCAAACCACGCGCCCACACCGGGGCCCCGTAAAGGGCCATGGACCGCACGATCCCCGCGTAGAGCCTCCGGCAGGAGGCGTTTGGCCCTCCCAGGTTCGGCAGGAGCCGCCTGAAGGCAGCCCCGGTCGTTCCAGTTTGGGAGCCAAACGTCGGAAGTGCTCAACGAAGTTCCATCGGCCGTCGAGGACGAGTCCTAGGTACTTCAGCGTCGACTCGACGCCGATGGATACCCCTCCTACAGAGGAGGGGCGTGGATCCTACGTACGCGTAGTTTAGCAAACTACGCTGACGCCGGTAGGGAGGTCGGCGCGCAGCACCCAGTCGTAACCGATGTTCCACAGAGGTGGCCCCAGAACCGAACCCTGTGGGACACCGCACGACATCTCTCGCCGGTTCCACTCATCGTTGCGACCGGGGTAGATTACGGCCCTGTCCGTCAGGTAGTCCCCGACTATACGACGGAGATAGGTCGGCACCCGGTGATACCGGAGTGCCTCTCTAATGCAGCTCCAGGGCATGGAGTTGAAGGCGTTGGCGATGTCGAGAGACACCGCCAAGACAACCCCCCCCCTCTGGTCACTGCATCTGCGGCTCATGCGGCTCTCACGCGCATGATGGCGTCCACCGTGGAGCGCCTCTTGCGGAAACCAAACTCGTGTTCCGCAAGATCCGGTCCCGTCCCCGCAAGGTGCTCGGCGAGGCGGTTTGCAATGACTCTTTCAAAGAGCTTGCCCACCTCGTCGAGCAGCACTACGGGCCGGTATGCGGACGGAGAGTCCGCAGGGCGCCCCGGCTTCCGAATGAGGACCAGCTTCGCCGTCTTCCAACGAAGTGGGAATTGGCCTCTCTCCAAGCATGCGCTTAGGAGCCCCTCCAGTCGGGGCTCGAGAGCCTCCGAGTCCAGGACCCAGGCTTTACCAGGCAAACCGTCGGGTCCTGGGGCGGTATTCCTGGCCTTGAGCCTTTAAAACTTTAAAACTTGTCATTTTTACTGAAATACGGAATAAAAACACGGCGACTTAAATTCTCGTGTCAAGCTCCTATGACTCACTCATAAAAATGAAATTGAGCCCGGAGCGGTCCGTCACGGAGTCCCAGTCGCCTCAGATGACCAGAGAGGCTGACTGGGATTAGCCCATTCGCAGAGACGACTACAGGAATAATTTCGGTCGGCAGACCACCCCACATGTCGGTCACCTCGTGAGCCAGGTCCAGATATTTTGTTTGCTTGTCTGTTTCGGCTTTCACGAGGTTCTCGTCATACGGAATGGTAATGTCGACCAAAAATATCCTTGACTGTGCCCGGTCCATCAGCACAATATCAGGCTTATTCGCAAGAATAGTCCTGTCTGTGATGATGGCCCGGTCCCAGTAGAGCCTGGCGCGTCATTTTCGAGCACGGCTTCCGGCAAGTACTTGTAATACGGCAATTTCCGGTCCACGAGACCGTATTTCAGAGCGAGCTCCTGGTGTAGAATTCTGGCTACTAGGTTGTGCCTGTGCAAGTACTCAGAGTTAGAAAGCGCCGAACAACCGGAGATGACATGCCTAAGTGACTCACCGGGATGGCGACAAGCTCGAGAGACGTCGACAGTGCCATCCTTTAGGATGTATCTCCGATAGTTGTTGGTCTTAATAACCTGATCCTGTATTGCACAGACAAAACCCTCGGTTTCCCCGAAGAGGTCACCGAAACGTAGCCAGTTGAGGGAGGCGACTGTATCTACGAAGGGCTCATGAAGAGCCCTGTAGTACCTCCCGTGGAGCTCCTTCTCCTTCCATACGGTCTCCCGGTCGGAAATGCTCTGCACTGCTGGGTCCTGCCATTGTTCGTGGGCTAAGGATAGAGGGGTAAGCCCTTTGTCACTAGAAATGACGTCATTATAGAATGGATCATCCGATCTCGCCAGGAAGTAATCACGGAGGCTGCACACTTCGCGATTATGCATGGTGAGCGCGCTCAGAAAACCACGCCCACCATGCTTTCGCGGCAAGTACAGCCTTATTACCGACGATCTCGGATGATGCATCCTATGGAACGTCATGGTAGTGCGGACTTTTCTATCCAGGGCGTTAAGTTCGGTCTGAGTCCACCTGAGTATTCCAAAGGTATATATGAGGACAGGCATGACCCAACCGTTATATGCGTGTGTCTTATTCACACCGGACAAAAGGCTGTTAAGCACTTTGGTCAAGCGTGCATAAAACACGTCGCAAACTGACTGTTTCATACCAGCCTCATCGATACCGATGTTCTGTGACATACCCAGGTATCGGTATGTTTCAGCCTCGGAAAGGGTTCTTAAGTTGACGGGCATAGATAAGTCTATGCCCTCAGAGTTAGCAACCCTTCCCCTTTCAACATGGAAAGGACCGCACACTTATCCGTCCCCAGCTCCATTCTAATGGAATTGCTAAATTCACAAGTGATGTTTAGCAATTCCATAAGATGGGAGCGACTGGAGGCGAATAACTTGAGGTCATCCATATAGAAAAGGTGGGTCACTTTTGTCCCTCCTTTCCTTAGCTGAAATCCTCTCCCGGAGCCCTCCAGTAAGGTACTGAGAGGGTTAAGAGAGAGGCAGAACCAGATTGGACTCAGACAATCGCCCTGGAAGATACCCCTTCTTATCCTTATGTGGTTCTCCGCAGCCATCATCCGCTCGCTCTGATAACGGAGGATCGTACTCCACTGCCCCATACACTGCTCGAGGAAGTCTCTAACTGTACAGTCAATCTTGTACAGCTCGAGGACCCTCTTTAGCCATGCATGGGGCACCGAGTCGAATGCTTTTCTGTAGTCTGTCCAGGCGGCGGAGAAGTTCCGACGGTTGCGTTTCACCACTTTGCCAATGAACGCGTAATGAGGAGTGGTTCCTTGGTTCCACGACCACCGCCCCGACATCCATTTTGAGCGCGTGACATCACCCGATTTAGCTCCAGGTGACGAGTGATTCTCGCGCTCAAAATGGATGTCAGTGTCTTATATATAGTGGGTAGACACGTGATGGGGCAGTATTTGCTCGGGTCTGTGGTACCCTGGTCTTTAGGAACCAAGTGAGTGATCCCAGTAGTGAAGAGGCTCGAGAGCGACTTCTGATCGAGAGCCTCTTGATACTGTCGGGCGAGCACAGCGTGACACACTACGAACCCCTTCAGCCAGTAATGATGCAGCCCGTCGAGCCCCGGACTTTTCCAGTTCGGGGCCCTACGGACCGCCTCAGCCACGTCTTCAGGCGTTATGGTGTCGGGGTCCATAGGCGTAACACTTGCACTCTGCTCGCCACAACTTCAATCCAAGGGCCCTCGCTGTGGTTTACGGGCTCTGACCACAGGCCACGCCAAAATGCGACAGTGTCAGCCTGATCCGGTCCTGGGCCCGCTCCACATACCTCTGGTCGCTCCAATGATTTATAGAGCCTCTTCTGATCACTCTGGAAGAGACGATTCTGGTTGAACCGCCTTGACCTCTCGCTAAATCGTTGAATCCGCTTCCCCCAAGCAGCGATTTTTTGCTTCAGGTCATCTATGCGCTCCGTTAGTTTCTGCGTGATATCCGGCTGGGACAAACTAATATTTGTCCCAGCAAACGCCATTCTAACGGTGCGCATAACTCTCGGTCTAATATTACCCAACCTGAAGCTTGTCAGTCTGCCGATAAGGGACATTGCCTTTGCGATACGGTCCTCGATTCTTTTTCTCCAGGCTGGGATGGCACTACCTTGTTGAGTAGCACGTCCAGCCATGGGAAGTTTGGCGCCAATAATATGGCATACTGCCAGTGCGGCGCCAAAAAGAATTGAGTCCGTCTCGCAAAGGTCCCGGCTGGATTCCAAATAGGTCACCAGCATTGGGTTAAGAGCCCGCACGACAGCCCGATTTCGCTTGCTAAGGGGAATGTGGGGAAGTCGCGGTCGATTCTCGAGAGGTATGCTGCGCGTTTCCAGCATCGACTCTTCCAATATGCTCCTCATTTTCTCTAGTTCGTGGGGGACTATTCCATCATCGTCTGAATCAACCACAGATGTAATATTGACGGCAGCGTCCACATTTGCAGTTTGCTGCGCAATTAGTGGCGCCGCATTCCCAGCCGTAGCATTTCCATCCGGTGAGGGAACAGCCTCACGTCGTAGTTGTTCGAGTTCGGCATCACCAAATATGTTGAAGCGCAGGATCTACCGAACTCGGTCTGCCAGGTTTTGCTCAGTGACGGATAGAGATGGCTCCAGCTCTGCAAAAAAGCGATGCATCCGAGCCCGATATGTCAAACATCCGGTTTCTTCCCCTTTTGCCCTAAAGTACGCCCGCAGTGCGTTTGCGTTCATTGTTTGTGACCAACGCATGCGACGTGCTCCACCAGCGGCGGGTGCCGCTTGCTGAGTCCGAGAAGACCCAGCCGACACCAAGCCTTCTGGTGGGGATGATGGATGCGGAGGGCTGCTAGGTGATCGTACAGCTCCTCGCGCTCGGCTGGCGGCCCGCATGCTGCCGTGTCCATCGCCAGCTCCAGACGCGCACGGGCGACCCCCAGGCAGCGGCCCTATGTGCGTTCACTATCTTTTTATCCATTATCCATTTATGGGCGTCAATTAACGGGAGACGCCCAAGCCCGGCACCGTTTCGTGTGTTCGGTCATTAGAACAAACGGGCCTCTGCACCCACAATTTTGCCGAGGCACGACGCTCACACCTCTTGGCAGGGCGCTGACTGACTGCGTCGACGTAGTAGTTTTGTCACATAACTGTTACGTCAGCGGGCGATGGGGTCGTCAATTCCCTACGCCTTTTTATTTTTATTATTATTATTTTTATATTATATGTGGGGTATCTATATAGTTTTCTCATCTGGTTGGGATCTATAAATATATAATTATAAACGAAAATGAAAGGATAAATATACATAAATATCAATAAAATAAAATAAATACAAAAATACATAAATAATTAAAAGCCCAACCAGATGGAGGCCCTCGGCAGGGGAGACCAAACGGCCAAGGGTTAGGGAGAAAGGGAAAGAAACCGGAGGACGATGCGGGCGGTATCGAGGAGCACCGCCTACTGCATTTGAACCTGGAGCGGTCCGCCACGTAGTCCCAGCCGCCTCAGATGACCCGAGAGGCTGACTGGGATTAGCCCGTTTGCAGAGACGACTACAGGAATAATTTCGGTCGGCAGACCACCCCACATGTCGGTCACCTCGTGAGCCAGGTCCAGATATTTTGTTTGCTTGTCTGTTTCGGCTTTCACGAGGTTCTCATCATACGGAATGGTAATGTCGACCAAAAATATCCTTGACTGTGCCCGGTCCATCAGCACAATATCAGGCTTATTCGCAAGAATAGTCCTGTCTGTGATGATGGCCCGGTCCCAATAGAGCCTGGCGCGATCATTTTTGAGCACGGCTTCCGGCAAGTACTTGTAATACGACAATTTCCGATCCACGAGACCGTATTTCAGAGCGAGCTCCTGGTGTAGAATTCTGGCTACTAGGTTGTGCCTGTGCAAGTACTCAGAGTTAGAAAGCGCCGAACAACCGGAGATAACATGCCTAAGTGACTCACCGGGATGGCGACAAGCTCGACAGATGTCGACGGTGCCATCCTTTAGGATGTATCTCCGATAGTTGTTGGTCTTAATAACCTGATCCTGTATTGCACAGACAAAACCCTCCGTTTCCCCGAAGAGATCACCAAAGCGTAGCCAGTGGAGGGAGGCTACTGTGTCTACGAAAGGCTCATGTAGAGCCTTGTAGAACCTCCCGTGGAGCTCCTTCTTCTTCCATACGGTCTCCCGGTCGGAAATGCTCTGCACTGCCGAGTCTTGCCATTGCTCGTTGGCTAAGGATAGAGGGGTAAGTCCTTTATCACAAGAAATGACGTCCTTATAGAATGGATCATTCGATCTCGCCAGGAAGTAATCACGGAGGCTGCACACTTCGCGATTATGCATGGTGAGCGCGCTCAAGAAGCCACGACCACCATGCTTCCGCGGCAAGTACAGCCTCATTACCGACGATCTCGGATGATGCATCCTATGGGACGTCATGGTAGTGCGGACTTTTCTATCCAGGGCGTTAAGTTCAGTCTGAGTCCACCTGAGTATGCCAAAGGTATACATGAGGACAGGCATGACCCAGCCGTTATATGCGTGTGCCTTATTCACACCGGACAAAAGGCTGTTAAGCACTTTGGTCAAGCGTGCATAAAACACGTCGCAAACTGACTGTTTCATACCAGCCTCATCGATACCGGTGTTCTGTGACATACCCAGGTATCGGTATGTTTCAGCCTCGGAAAGGGTCTTAAGTTGACGGGCATAGATAAGTATACGCCCTCAGAGTTAGCAACCCTTCCCCTTTCAACATGGAGGACCGCACACTTATCCGTCCCCAGCTCCATTCCAATGGAATTGCTAAATTCACAAGTGATGTTTAGCAATTCCATAAGATGGGAGCGACTGGAGGCGAATAATTTGAGGTCATCCATATAGAAAAGGTGGGTCACTTTTGTCCCTCCTTTCCGTAGCTGAAATCCCCTCCCGGAGCCCTCCAGTAAGGTACTGAGAGGGTTCAGAGAGAGACAGAACCAGATTGGACTCAGACAGTCGCCCTGGAATATACCCCTTCTTATCCTTATGTGGTTCTCCGCAGCCGTCATCCGCTCGCCCAGATGGCAAAGGATCGTAGTCCACTGCCCCATACACTGCTCGAGGAAGTCTCTAACTGTACAGTCAATCTTGTACAGCTCGAGGACTCTCTTTAGCCATGTATGGGACACCGAGTCGAATGCCTTTCTGTAGTCTATCCAGGCGGCGGAGAAGTTCCGACGGTTGCGTTTCACCACTTTGCCAATGACCCCGTCAATGAGGAGTGGTTCCTTGGTTCCACGACCGCCGCCCCGACATCCATTTTGAGCGCGCGACATCACCTGATTTGAGTCCAGGTGACAAGTGATTCTCGCGCTCAAAATGGATGTTAGTGTCTAGTATGTATATGGTCGGTAGACACGTGATGGGGCGGTATTTGCTCGGGTCTGTGGTACCCTGGTCTTTAGGAACCAAATGAGTGATCCCAGTAGTGAAGAGGCTTGGGAGCGACTTCTGGTTGAGAGCCTCTTGAAACTGTCGGGCGAGCACAGAGTGACACACCATGAACCCCTTCAGCCAGTAGTGATGCAGCCCGTCGAGCCCCGGACTTTTCCAGTTCGGGGTCCTACGGACCGCCTCAGCTACGTCATCCGGCGTTATGATGACGGGGTCCATGGGCGTAATACCCGTACACTGACTCGCCACAACTTCCGTCCAAGGGCCCTCGCTATGGTTTACGGGCTCTGACCACAGGCCGCGCCAGAATGCTACCGTGTCGGCCTGATTCGGTGCTGGACCCGTTCCACTTACCATTGGTCGCTCCAATGATTCATAGAGCCTCTTCTGATCACTCTGGAAGAGACGATTCTGGTTGAACCGTGTCGACCTCTCGGTATATCGCCGAATCCGCTTTCCCCAAGCAGCGATTCTCTGCTTCAGGTCGTCTATGCGCTCCGTCAGTTTTTGCGTTATATCCGGCTGGGACAAACTGACATTTGTCCCAGCAAACGCCATCCTGACGGTGCGCACAATTATTGGCCTGTTGTTGCCTGATCTGAAGCATATCAGTCTGCCGATGAGAGCTCTAGCCTTTGCGATACGTTCCTCAATTTTTCTTCTCCAGGCTGGGATAGCGCTACTATGGCCAGTAGCGCGTCCAGCCGTGGAAACCTTGGCGCCTATGATACGGCAGACTGCCAGCGCGGCGCCAAAAAGAATTGAGTCCGTCTCGCAAAGGTCCCGGCTGGCTTCCAAATAGGTAACCAGCATTGGGTTCAGAGCCCTCACGACAGCCCGATTCCGCTTGCTTAGGGCTATGCGGGGAAGTCGCGGTCGATTTTCGAGAGTCGTACTGCGCGTTTCCACAATCGCCTCTTCCAATGTACTCCTCATTTGCTCTAGTTCCAGTTCCTGGGCGACTGTTCCATCATCGTTTGAATCAACCACAACTGGGGTATTCACGGCGGCATCCACATTTGCCGTTTGCTCTACCAGTTGTGGCGCCGCATCCTCAGCCGTAGCATTCTCACCCGACGAGGGAACAGCCTCACGTCGTAGCCGTTCGAGTTCGGCGACATCAAATGTATTTGAGCGCAAGATATACCGAACTCGGTCTGCCAGGTTTTGCTCTGTGACGGTTACAGATGGCTCCAGCTCAGCAAAAAGTCGATGCATCCTTGCCCGATACGCAAAACATCCAGTTTATTCCCCTTTTGCCCTAAAGTACGCCCGCAGTGCGTTTGCATTCATTTCGTTGTGACCAACGCATGCGGCGTGCTCCACCAGTGGCGGGTGCCGATTGCTGAGTCCGCGAAGACCCAGCCGACACCAAGCCTTCTGGTGGGGATGATGGATGCGGAGGGCTGGTAGGTGACCGTGCAGCACCTCGCGCTCGGCTGGCGGCCCGCATGCTGCCGCGTCCAGCGCCAGCTCCAGACGCGCCCCGGCGACCCCCAGGCAGCGGCCCTTTGCGCGCTATCTTTTTATCCATCATCCATTATTTGGGCGTCCATTAACGGGAGACGCCCAGGCCCGGCGCCGTTTCGTGTGTAGCCATGAGCACAAGCGGGCCTCTGCACCCTAAATTCTGCCGCGGCACGGCGCTCACACCTCTTGGCAAGGCGCTGACTGACTGCGTTGACGTAGCAGTTTTGTCACTTAACTGTTACGTCAGCGGGCGATGGGGTCGTCAATTCCCTACGCCTTTATTTTTATTTATTATTATTATTATTATTATTATTATCTCCCTACTCCTTTCTGGGGACTGGAGGTCTGAGGGTATCGAGGTAGCCCTCATAACCCGGTAGTCTTCGCGGAGGGGCAGTGCTCCCCTGGTATTTAGTGCTGCTGTGCAGCATGTTGGTCTGGGTGTTGCGCACTACACGCCATCAAGCCAGGTGTCTGGAAAAACTCACTCAACCCCGGCGGCTCCCTCGCCGGGCGGTGAGCGCTAAAATTCACGTGGGAGTGGCCGCCCATCAGGTGGGTGCGCATGTAAAGGTGCCAAGTTTCTCAGGTGTATGTGTGGCCCGTTATCTGCGCGGTCGAACAACCGTCTCGCAGTACGGGCCACAAATTCATGGATAGGCTCGATTTTAAGGTCCCTGACTATTGGTCATTTCTGACGTAGCGGCCTGCTCCCACGATCACCGGTAGCGCTAGATTCTGCTGGGCTTGCAGCCTCTTGCGCTGATTGGCTGATGTCAGCGCGTACCAGGCTGGCGCTGCGTAACTCAGCCGTGAGCGGACGTAGGTCTTATATATGGTGATTTTTGTTTTGAGTGGGAGTGTGGATGCCAATATTGGACAGAGTTTTGATCGTACGACTCTGTCCTGAGCCACGACGTGGTCGACCATTGGAGTCATGTGCAACGAGCGATCTATCTGACATCCTAAGTAGGTGACTGTACTCTTCCAACCTACGTCCTGCCCACGGAGTCACAAGGTTGGTGGGGTGTGTCTCAGCCTGGTCACGAAGGTGGCGGTCTTGCCAATGTTGACCGCCATCCTCCATCTGTCCAGCCATTCGGGTAACAAGTCCAGCAGTCTCTACAGCTTCCTTGCCGCGAGTTCACTTCACGAGTTGTCGCGAGTGCGACTTCACGTCATCTCGTCGGGTAGAAACCCGACGAGATGACGTGAAGTACGCACTGTCATCTCCATATAATGCCAGTACGACATCGTCTTCCCACTCCTTCAGACGGCCTTGGAGTGTGAGGATTTCGTTAGTGTATACCGCGTACAGGTGGGGTGATAGGCAGCTGCCTGCGGCACTCCCGCTTCAATCGGTCGTGCTACTGAGACAGCCTCCTCGATGTTAACATAGAAGTTCCGCCCCTCCAGGAACGACGCTAGTAGACGCACAAGCATAGGCGGCAAGGTGGTGTTTTCTATTAGTTTGTGTAGTAGCCCCGCGTGCCACACTCTGTCGAAGGCCTTTTCCATACCAAGATAGACCCCACACAGATGCGGCCGCGGTTGTGCTCGGCCGCAAGATAGTGTAGCACGCGGGCCAGTTGGGCTGTGGTTGAATGCGCTCTGCGGAAGCCAAATTGTTCCTCCCGCAGAGCAATGTGCGACAGTAATCTGAGAGTCATTTTTTCAAAAAGTATTAACTGGGCGGTATAACTTGATAAAAACAGCATTGCTAGCATGGAAAATGTAAATGCTGTTGCAATTATTACCATATTATAAGTTAATGCTATAGCAGTTAATATTGAATCAACTGAAAAAACTAAATCTATTAATATAATTTGTAGCACAACTAAAAAAAAATTTGATTTAACGTTTACTTTCTTTTTATTTTTCTTACATACAAAGATGTCATCCCATAACTCCATAGAGCCTTTAACAATAAGGAATAATCCCCCTGCGATCATAAGTAAATCCCTTGCCGAAATATTTAGCGATGCAGTGTGAAATATAGGTTTTTGCATTGACAATATAGATGATGTAAAAAATAGTATTACAAAACGCATTAATAGCGCTAATCTAAGGCCCATAAGGCGCCCCCTTTCTCTCGGAACATTTTGTACCTTATCTATTGCTAGAGAAATAAAGATTAAATTGTCTACACTAAGTATAGTTTCAAGTAGTGTGTCAGTAAAGTCCAAGCATCGGCTAGCATTTTTGTCCCAAATTCGGCTCTTCTTACTCTACAATAGATGTGTAAAAATTAAGTGACTTCACTCAGAAGTTTTATAGCCGCTCTCCAGAAAAACAGGATAACTGCTAATATAAAGTTCAGCAGCTTCTTCTATTTTCTTTTTTGAGTAAAATCAATAATAAGAGAGTTTCTTATTTTCATTTTTGATTTTATTTGAAAATAATATATATTATAAGAATAGTGTGCTATGATGAATGAATGTATATTAAAGGATCACCATCAGGCAAAGTTGTTAGAGCATCCGCTGGTTATCAGGCGTTTCTACCTAACTCCTTGCCACCAAAATTTGAATGAGACAATTAGTTAATAGTCTTTCCAGAGCAGATCATGTTTTAGGTATGTTATCCAGGGAAGGAGCTAAATTGCCTATCTCTCATCTTCTCATACGACCCTTTATAGCATGTGAAGCAGTTCTTTCAAGTAGAATCGAGGAAAATCAAGCAACTCTTGGTGAAATTTTGGCTCAAGAAGCAGGTGCTAATGTAGATCGCAATCCCGATGATTTACAAGAAGTACACAATTATATATCAGCGCTCGATTATGGACTAAAACGTTTACATCTTTTCCACTATCGCTTCAGTTAGTTAAAGAAATTCACGAAAAACTTATGCAAGGTGTAAGAGGTTCTCACGAAACTCCAGGAGAATTTCGCCGAGTGCAAAATTGGATTGGAAGCCCAGGATGTACAATAGACACAGCAAAATATGTGCCACCAATGCCAGGTGAATTGATGGGTTGCTTGGACTCTTTTGAAAAGTTTCTACATGATAGAACATTACTCCCACTTATACATATAGCTCTATGTCATTATCAATTTGAAGCGATTAACCCATTCTTGGACGGCAATGGACGTATTGGACTTTATTAATAACATTTTTTGAAGCTACAAAAAGTGAGTATTATGACCAACTTTACAATATAAGCAACAGAGGTACGTGGCATGATTGGTTCTCTTATTTCTTAAATGGTGTAGTACTGCAATCATTGGATACATTGTCAAGAGCAGAACGAATTAACATTTTGATTGCAAATTGGCAAACTGAAGTTAGTTCTAAAACTGAGGGAGTTGCGAGTGGTATTGTAAGGTATCTCGCTGTAAACCCTTACTTTACTATAAGGAAAGTGGTTGAAAACTTAGGTGTCGTATTTACAACAGCCCAAAGAGCAATCGTAAAGCTTGAAGATTTAGTCATCGTTTCACAAACTTCTCAAGGAAAGAGAGATCGGGTTTATTGTACAACTGATATTTTGAATATTCTAGAAGAACCAACTAAGATTACAGAGAACTTCGATAGCACATTGTAGCTATTGTGATGAATAAATTCAGCAAACAGCAAGCTTAAAGAGTCTGATCCAATGTTCATGCTGAACAAAAAGTAAGGAGCTCCTTTTGGAGAACTATATTAACTTATTAATCAATTGCTTGACTTTTGCAGGATTTATCATACTATTTATTAATGAGTAATGCAATCAAATCAAGGAGGATAGCATGACTGGTGACGATAACAGAAAAACTTTACAATCGATAATTACTGGTGAAAATCACAGTATAAATGGAGTTGGAAAGTTAAAAGATTTCCTTAAACAAAACAAAGAAATAACTATTAATAAAGACACATTTGCATATGCTTTACAATACCAAAAAACTACAAAGGAAGCAATAGTACACGAAATTCTGCTTCATTTTATACAAAATCCTGGCAAGCAATCACTAGAACAAGTGATACAATGCTTAGATAGAGCAATAAAACCTAGGATATATGCAAAAAATAACCCAATAAGAAATCTAGATGAGGAACTTCGTAGTCATATAAACTTTAAAGATGAAAAGGGAAATACATTACTACATCATGCAGTTATAGGTAAGAAAACTGAAGAAATAATCACCCTTCTTGTTACATATAGTGCAAATCGTTTGATACAAAACGCGGTGCGCAATAAAATTCCTTTATATTTAGCTCAAGGAGAAACAAAAAAGTGCTTATTAAAAGTATGAAAGAACAAGCCAATACGAAAAAAGAAAGCGCTAGGATAGGTAGTTTGGTGCCTGGCGTAATAATTGGTGGTTTTCTTGGTGTTGTACTTGGAGCTGGTGTGTGTGTTGCAGTAAGTCTTTCTGGTGGTATGATACTAGGTTTAATAATAACACCTGTTCTTGTTGCTAGTATAGCTGCTGGGCTGGCCATGTATTTTTTGAGTCAAGACTATGAACAGGCTAAAGCGATAGAAAAAACTATTAGCACTGTTAGCTCTGAAATATCTGTTGATGGTGCAACTGCCGCAAATGATAAAGAAGGGCCACAACCTACGTATCTACGTATAGCTGACCCAAGCAACACGTCATACTGCGATTCATTCTACAAGTAGAACATGTTGAAGGATATCATTCAGGCCTATGATGTGTAGTGCTTGACACTGGGATAGAAAAGTTTTTTATTGGTTTACACTAAATGAATGTTTTTGATGAGGTTGCATAGAAGGGATTGTCGATAGATCATTTATGGATTGATTACGCTAACTAGTAGCGGAATGACGAATTTTTACTTTTCAAATTGTCGTAAGTCACTTTAGCTATAATACATACAAGGAGGTTGTCACCCAAGTGTCCTAACTACTTGGATCCAAGAAATTTAATTGTTTTAAATTTTGCTCAACGCCCCTCTATACACCTATCTAAAATTTATGTTATTCACATGTGAAATATAATCTATAATAACATTGAATTTATTACCAGTACAATATGTTAAAAAATATTATGAGCTTCATAAGAGAAAAAAACACCCCTGTGATGGAACAATATTTGAACCTGAAAGCTCAATACAAGGTTCATCTGCTATTTTATAGGCTAGGAGATTTTTATGAGTTGTTTTTCGATGATGCTATTAAAGCTGCGAAATTGCTGAATATAGTGATAACCAAGAGGGGCAATTCAGATGGGCAAGAAATACCAATGTGTGGAGTGCCAGCACACAGTAGCGAATCTTACCTACACAAGCTAATAGATTTAGGATTCAAAGTAGCAATCTGTGACCAATTAGAAACTGCTGATGAAGCAAAAAAGAGGGGCTATAAATCCATAGTAAAACGTGATGTAGTACGATTTGTAACTCCAGGTACAATTATAGAAGATTCGCTACTGGAGGATAAAAGCAATAATTATCTCGCCTCCATAGTTGAACAAAATGACGAATATGCTATTAGTTGGCTTGAATTATCAACGGGAAAATTTTTTCACACTTTAACGAATTTGAAAGCTCTAGATAGTGATTTATTGCGTATATAACAGAGAGAATTATTAATTTCTGAAAAATTCACTGAGGACGAAAAAATTAGATCGATTTTAAAAAATTACAAAATATCAATTACACAACACGCACAGAGTTTTTTTGAGTATAGTAAATCTCACAGAACGTTATGCGAGTTTTATAAAATCAGGGTACTTGGGAGTATAGGAAATTTCAAATATGTCAGAGTAACACAAAGGGGATCGATTCCAAGGCTTGAATTCCCAAAAACCTATAAGCAACAAACTTTCATGCTTATTGATGCTTCAGCAAGAAGAAATCTTGAGTTGTTTTCAACTCAATTTGGTGAAAAGAAAGGTTCACTAATTTCAGTTATTGATCACACAGTTACAGCTTCTGGTGGACGCCTGCTCAAACAAATGCTCGCTTCACCACTTACTTGCTCCAAGGCAATCAATTTGAGGCTCAGCACCGCTCAATTTTTTGTGAACAATCATGAGCCACGCAGAAAAATACGAGAGATATTATCTAACATTCCAGATATTGAGAGGTCTTTATCGCGCTTAATACTAGGACGTGGTTCACCAAAGGATATGAACCTATTAAAAGTAGGCCTAGGAAAAACTTTAGAGTTATCTGAGTTCTTATGTAAAATTGAATCAGGTGAAAATGGATCTCTCCCACAACAATATGTCATCCAAGTAGCTGACACTGGAATCCAGATGCAGATTCCAGCGTCACGCGCTGGAATGACAGTAAAATCAGACGAGAGTGAACTAAGCACAATACATAAAAGTCTTGGTAATCATAAAGATCTATTCGTCCTTCTAAACAGAGCTATACTTGATAATAACCTCAGTTCCTTGAAAGAAGGAGGATTTATCAATCCAATATACAACTCAGAATTATCCGAGTTATCTTATATATTGAACAACAGTAACAAGTTGGTAACTAAGCTCCGTGAGTCTTATCGCAACCTAACTGGCATTGCCGCACTCAAAATATAACACAACAATATACTTGGTTATTACGTTGAAGTGTCAGCAAATCACAAAATAACTTCGGACATATTTATTCATAGGCAAAGCTTAGCAAATAGCATGCGCTACACTACTAATGAATTGAAAGAACTAGAAAATAAAATTCTTACGGCACGTGATGCTACAATCGGCTTAGAAGTGAAAATTTTTAGTGAACTGTGTAGTGAAGTCGCTAAAGAATCTGAAAAAATTGCTCTTGCTGCAAATGCTTTAGCGAAACTTGATTAGAGCCACTTTTGCGGAGCTTGCAGTGCAAAATAATTACGTAAAACCCATTATCGATGACAGTAAAGAGTTCAATATTCGCAATGGAAGACATTCAGTGGTTGAAGTTAACAATAAATTCATTGCAAATAGCATCAAATTAGCTGGTATACATCTAATTACTGGTCCTAATATGGCTGGAAAAATCACTTTCTTGAGGCAAAACGCTCTCATTGCAGTTTTAGCTTACATGGGGTCATTTGTGCCAGCAGAGAGTGCGCATATTGGAGTGATTGACAAGATATTTAGCAGGGTTGGTGCAACAGATAATATAGCAGCTGGTTATTCTACCTTCATGGTAGAGATGATCGAAACAGCAACAATAGTAAATCAGGCAACAGATCGTTCCTTGGTGATACTTGAAAATTGGTAGAGGCACAGGAGTGTATGATGGATTATCCATTGCACAGGCAGTGATTGAACATATTCACAATGTAAATAAGTGCCGCGCCATTTTTGCAACTCATTATCATGAATTAACTAAAGTAAGCAAATACTTGAAGAACGTGAAATGTTTTTGTGTAAAAATAAGAGAGTGGAACGGAGAGGTTATCTTTCTACATGAAGTAATTGAAGGCATTGCAGATGAGTCATATGGAATACATGTAGCAAAACTTGCTGGTTTTCCTGATTCTGTTTTAAATAGAGCAAGTGAAGTATTTGAGGAGCTAAAGGCTTAAGAAAAGAAGAGATTTTTTAAGGGCTGGAATGTGTCAAAGATTTTTCAGACGTACGAAGACAGAAAAGAGTTCTGGGATGAAAGGAGGCAATGTACCCTCATTAAAAACTTAATTTCAGTCCAGTCAAGAGCATATAACCAGAGTTGCTATTTTCTACTTCAGGCTCTTTGGTACAAAATTTTATAATATCGAAATAGTATGAAGTGCCCATAAAAATTGATATTCAAGGCTTAAAGCATATGATGTTAACTCGTTTGCTGCAATATACCTACCACTATTGAAATATGTTAAGCTCAATTTACGAGAATCAGAATGGTAAGCAATACCTGCATTCATATAATACGTATTATTTATTTTAGGATTACGCTTCTCACCAGATTTACCTCCATTACCATACGAAAAAATGCAATCAAGATTGAACAATTTTAGCTTCAAACCAAAATTCCAGTGCAGTAATTGATTACGAAATTCATAATTTTTAGAAGTCCCATCTGAGCAATCAGTTAAATTTTCTCTTGCAAATTCACCAGTTAAAGCAGTAGTAAAATTTATATCATCTGATAGGCCATTTTTATAGGAAAGGTCAGCAGCAATTAAATTGCTGTACTGTAAGTTATTTTTTCCTGGGACATAACTGAACCCGAGTTGAAAGTTATAGATTTCAGGAGAGATATAGTTAATTGATGATTGTTTTAACCCTATTTCGAGTCCATTATAATTACTGTAAATATTGGGTTTTACCCAAAATACCTTGTCTTTATCATATCCAGGGCCATTATCTCCGTTTTCGTTACCACGCAAATTTGCATAGTTTGTCCAATGACCATTTACTCCTCCAGCAGCCGTATAATTTTTTGAAGTGTTAATTAACATGCCCTGACTAACTAAACTTCTTTTACCATATTCAATTGATCCAAGCACCTGATTTTTAATGATGAAATACCATTCCTCCATGTCTAACTTTTCTATGTCTAACGCTTTTAGGTTTGCAATACCAGAAACTCCTGCCTTAACATTAAACCCCATTTGAGTATTTGGATAAACTTGCTGTAAATAAAGAAAGCGCAAGTATGAATACCTGGAAGTTTTATCCTTAGCCTTAGCATTGAAAGAACCTCTGTTGAAGGCGTAGCCGAATCTCAAATCTATTTTTCAGTCTAGTTCTACATAAAATATTTCTTTATCCAAAATTGTTCTAGAGCTAGCACTACTCTGCAAAAACAATGATGAAAGCAGTACTACCAGTGGTACCTTAACTTTATAAATAAACTTAAATTTTTATAAAAATTTAAGTTTAAACTCAATACTCGTATAATTAAAAAGCAATTTTTCAGAAGGCGCCGCTGGTAGATTTTGCTGCCCGTTTTTGAGCTATATTCCCATAAATTATTGATATACTTGGTAATTTTCGCTTTAATAACTGCTTATTAATGGCAGAATGTATTCGACTAATTATTTTAGACGTACTTTTTACATCGCAGTTAATCAAAACAAAAAGCACTTTATTCTCATCAATACACCCTCGAAAATCATCACTACGTTTACAATTTGTACAAAAATGTTCTATGATAACTTTCAGTGCATCATTTGTCTTACTACAGCTACTATTTAAGCCAATCACTCCTATAGCTGCATTAATTTGATGTTGAAAGGCAAAATTTAATATAACGTATACTCTAGAATAGTAGACTCATTGTTAGGTATATCGAATAAGTCATGGTTTTTATATTTTTTACCCATTAGATATTCATTTCTAAAGATTCCTAATCTATGAGACAAGCTGATATCACGTATCAATAGCTCATAATTTATTTTATTACTAGCAAATTGTGCAGTGCGGAAAACTTTTACTTTTGTCTTTATATCTTATCCTTTAGCATCAGTTAAGGAAAAACCTATCACTTTAGGTAATACATCAAGTAAATCGTGTCCAATTTTCGGTATACTCTAAATAATTCTTCATGTCGTCAGCTGCTCTTGCACTTAAAATATTGATTAACAGCTTATTAAGTAAATTCCCTTCCTCGTATTTTAACAAATTCCTTGCGGCTTGATTGAGCCCTAAAATTAATACCTTTTTTTTCTTATTATCCTGACAAACAGATACTACAGCATTATCTTTCTTTCTTGCAGTTATGAAATCATCCATACTTTCATTTTATACAGCATATTTCTAAGTATAATAAGATTATATTAAAATTTACTTACTTATTAATATGCTTGATTAGATATAGATAAAATGTCATACGGGATGGCTTTATTTGTATGTTTTAGGTGGTAATAAATGGATAGTCAAGCAAAATTACATTTGCAACTTTGCTTGACTTATCCTTTTTTTTATATCTTTATTACAATCATAACCTCTAGCTCTGAGTTATACCCCTTTGTTACATTGTATTAGATGGAAGTAGAACAAGTCATATTTAGTTGTTCTGAAAGATCTACTATAGCTCACTGAAAAAAGATTACCCCAGAAGGGATAAAAAGGTATAAAATGGCTTTAGATAAGGTAGAATGATGCCAAAATGAGAATCTAAGGGGACGTGTTTTGAAAGTAAGTAGCCTGTGCTGTTTACTCAGTCTTACCACTGTGGGGTTTAGCTATCCTTAGCATTAATTCTCTCGTATGTTTTGCTGGTGGTTTAGCTTTTCATATGAAGCATGAGAAAGAATCAGACAATATTGAGGAGGCTGAAGAAGCAGTTAGGAATTATGTACCACCTCCTCCTTATGGTGAATTTAATAATTCTAATGCGGAACTGCAGTTTGGGAATTGTGAGTGGTTCTAAACCCACAACTATAAGAACATTGCAATTTCAGATCCAGTGCCTTGACTACAATGTTCGTATAGTTGTGAGCTTGACCATAAAATGATTCTTAAGAAAACAAATGCAATTTTTTGCAGGTTTCACGTATGATAAAAATTAACAGTTTTATTTTTAGCCAAATAAATTGAATCAAGCTACAAAACCTGCTAAAGTTAACTTTGTGAAAGCACCCTTAGCTCAGTTGGATTAGAGCATTTGACTACGGATCAAAAGGTCGGGCGTTCAAGTCGCTCAGGGTGCACCACATTTTATAGGAAACAGAAGTCACACTTGAAATTAATATATGCAATACCTATATTCAAAGGTTAAACACTAAACTATTATATATGAACAAAAAAGACTACTATGATCTGCTGGAAGTAGGAATAAATGCCAGTATTGATGAGATAAAAAAAGCGTATAAAAATTAGCGTTAAAATATCATCCTGATAGAAATCCTGGCAATCAAGAAGCATAGGAAAAATTTAAAGTAGTAACAGCTGCATATGAAGTTCTATCTGACTCTGAGAAAAGGGCAAGCTATGACCGTTATTGCCACGAAGGTGCTTCTGGTGGGTTTCAAGGCTTAGCTCTGCAGGAGATTTTAGCGACATATTTAATGACTTCTTTGGTGGAGGATTCGGCGGTGGTGCAAGTAGATCAAGAGCGAAGAGGAGCGCAACAGGAGTGTCTGGAGCAGACCTACGTTATGATCTTGAAATTACCTTAGAAGATGCATTTAAAGGAATACAAGCGCCTATACATTATGTGACAAATGTAAAATGTGACACATGCCAAGGCACAGGTAGCGAAGGAGCAATTAAACCAGTTCAGTGTCCCACATGCCAGGGAAGCGGTAGGATAAGAACTCAACAAGGCTTTTTTACCATCGAAAGAACGTGTACTACATGCTATGGGGAAGGAGAAATAATACAAAATAAATGTAAGAAATGTGTTGGAAGTGGACGTAGAAGAGATGAAGTAAATATATCCGTTTCAATTCCAAAGGGCATAGAAGAAGGAGCTAAGGTTAAGTGTTAAAGGAGAAGCTGGAGCAAGAGGTGGAAAAAGTGGAGATTTATACGTATACGTGAAAATAGCTCCCCATAAAATCTTTACTAGAAATATGGCAGATTTACACTGTAAAGTACCTATAAGAATGACACTAGCTGTGCTTGGTGGTGAAATTGATGTTCAGTCAATTGATGGAGCTAAAATAAAAGTAAAAGTTCCAGAGAGCACTCAAACTGGTACCAAGTTACGTTGTAAGGAGAAGGGTATGCCGCATATGAATTCACATGTTCGCGGTGATTTTTATGTCGAGGTAATAGTTGAAACCTTAAATCTAAAAAGTTTAACCAAAAAGCAAATTGAGCTATTAAAAGCGTTTGAAGAAGAGGAAAATGCAAATGTACAACAACGATCTGAAGGTTTTTTTAGTAAAGTAAAAAAATATAAGAAATCTGCTAAATGACATGAAGGAGTAACTGTTTATGGGTTTTCATTTAATCCTGCAATTCTTTGACCTTATTAATGGAAAACTTAACAATAGTGTTGATATCACCATTATTAGCCAACAGAAACTTCTTAGTTCCTTAAAATTATGTAAAAGGAATAAATTTCTTTATTTAAGGTCGAAGTTTTGATATTCTCAGGTTTTAATAATTTAAATTTAATGAATATAAACAAAAATGAGTTTTTATTCATCCCGATTCTTCCTACTCCCTCAAGCGGTCTTCCGCTTGAGGGAGTAGAAAGAATAGGGATGAATGTTAGCCTATATCATTATCAAGGTAAGTGGGTTATGATCGACCTTGGTGTTGGTTTTGCAGATGAAACTATGCCGGATATTGAGCTGCTCATTGCTGATGTAGATTTTATTGCTCAAAAAAAAAAAAGATTTGCTTGGAATAATAATTACACATGCACATGAGGACCACTGCGGTGCAGTGCCCCACTTGTGGGAAGAGTTGCAGTGCCCCATATATACAACAAAGTTTACGGTTAATTTTCTTAAGGAGAAACTAAAAGAGTTTCGATTAGAAGGTACAGTACCTGTGAAAGAGGTGGACATAAATGGCAGCACAAATTGGGGTCCTTTTACCGTTGAGTTTATAAATATAACTCATTCAATTCCTGAGGCAAATTCAATATTAATTAGCACTGAAATGGGTAGTTCACTCCATACCGGAGACTGGAAATTTGATCCAAAACCTGTTGTTGGATTAACTTCTAATATAGAGCGTCTAAAAGAAATTGGCGATAAAGGTTACCTGCTTGCAGCAATTTGCGATTCAACCAATATATTAAGCAAGCAAAACCCTGAGTCAGAAGGTGAAATTTATTATAACATTTATAACATAATAAAGCGGTCTAAAAAATTAGTTGCTGTTTCGCTATTTGCTTCAAATGTGGCACGAATTGAAACGATAAGCCAAGCTGCAAAAGCACTAAATAGACAATCTGGGGGCACGGCAGTGCCCCCGCCAAGTCGAGCAAAAAAGCGGCACGGCCGTACCATCTTTTCTCGAAGCAATTCAGGCCATTTTCGACCCCTTATAACTTCATGGTCAATAAAACTAGAAGCCTGAATTTTCAGTAACCAAGTAAGCATTGTATAAACATGGTATATTTAAAATTTCATTCAATTTGAATTAGTATTTTAAGAATTGTAACCAGTCAAAATTTCTTATTTTTGTCACTCACTGACTGACCGATCATCAAAACTCTAAGGCACTTCTAGCAGACATAGAAGAATATAATTAGTGTTTAGTGTATAAATCAAGAAAAAACTAAAACATTTGTTAATTTTTGTCCAGTTTTTTAGATACACTAACTGCATAAATAAGTTTGTAATCCCATATAAATATATAGAATTACAAAGTTACATTTGCAGTGAATGAATCTGTGTGCTCACACAGACAATCGCATTGAGCAATCTAATTTAATATAATACGTATTACTTGTGAGATACATTGTGGTTTCATGCGATGGCCAAGTCAATCTATATATTTAAAACATAAAGGACTTTTAACATTGATATGGTCACTATAAAATGTTGTTAGGTTAGCTAATTACGTAATAACTTAAAACAGAAGGACCCTTAAGTAGGAACTGAATAAATTAACCGACTTGGTATTACATGGATCTCACAACTTTTAGGGTAGAAGAACTGAGTTGCGAGACTTGGTTTTTTTACAAGTTATGTTTTTAATGGTATTAGTATTACTTGGTAGATCTTTATGGAGAATAGTGAAGGTTGCGCAAGATAGTGGTTATTTAACTGATTCTCCTCAGTTTCTTGAAGCAAAGGAAGCAGTAAATTTTCCAAGGGAAAGACTGGTGCTACTTTGCACAGGTTGTCAAGGTGAGCCACTGGCAGCAACTTCAAGGCTTGCTAATAAGAATCATCAAGCATTTAAAATGCAGCAAGGTGATACCATGATCTTTTCGTCAAAAATCATTCCTGGAAATGAAACTCGTGCGCACAACATGCTCAATGCCTTTATTGAGATGGGGGTAGAAGTTGTTACTGAAAAAACAGAGCATGTTCATGCTTCTGGGCATCCAACAAGAGAAGAGTTAAAGGAAATGTATTCTTTAATAAAACCGAAGATGTCTATTCCAGTTCACGGCGAATATATTCACACGCATGCAAATGTAAAATTTGCTAAAGAGTGCGGTGTGGCAAAAGCAATAATGATTGCACCAGGTGATATTGTTAATTTGGAGAACGGAGAAAAAGTTGATTCAATCAGTGTTGACTACTTTGGTATTGATGGTATTCTGCTACCTCATCCGGAGAGCAGTGTTATAAAAATGCGTAAAAGAATGAGAGATGCCGGAGTTATTGTGGTAATAGCAGTTGTAAACAAGAAAAATAAATTGCTTACTAAACCGAAAGTATTTGTACCTGGTGTTTTTGAATTGCTAGAAGATGCAGCTATCATACAGAAAATTGTCAAGAAAGTTGAGTCGTTGTTTAGTTTGCAGCCAACAAAAAAAATTAAAAATAAGATTGAAAGTTCAATATTGAGTATCTTAAAGGAATATTTACTAAAAAGACCTATAATTGAAGTCCAGATAGAACAGGTATGAAATGAAAGAATGAAGTTATTCGTTCAATTAATATTGCTTGTTTCGTTATTTATTCCTTATTTTACAAAGGCTGCTTTATATATTGATATAAAAAAGCAGTGTTGGTAACATTGGTCTTGTTGTATCTAAATGTACATGTAAAACAGCGCTGGAAAGCGAATTAAGCGAGAATATTGCGAAGGTAATAGGGACAAATTTATCTAATTGTGGCTTATTTAATGTGAAACTTGGCGCGGAAGCTGAATTTAATTCTTGGAAAAGTGATACTGTATTCACAGTAAGTTTAAGCGAAGTATCTGGTAGTGCATTAGAGCTATCATTTCGTTTATTTGACACTTTTACAAAAAGAGAATTACTTACTCAGTCAGTTATTTTTCCAGCAAAAGACTGGAGAAAAATTGGTCACTTCGTTTCGGATGTGATATATGATAGATTGATTGGTGAGAAACGGAACTTCAACACAAAAATCACGTATATTGCTGAAGAAAAAGATAGCAATTATAAATCCGTACGTAAAATTGCTGTGATGAATCAAGATGGAAGTAATATAAAATACTTAACAAATGGCGATAGATTTGTGTCAACACCGAGATTCTCACCAAATGGAAAGGGTATTGTTTATATCTCATACGCAAATGGTAAAAGTTATATAGTATTAAAAATTTTAAAAGACAACACTGAATCAATAATCAGCGCATTTGAAGGAGTTATTTCTGCACCAAGATTTTCTCCTGATGGTAAATCTCTTTTAATTTCCCACTCATTGGGTGGTGAAACGAATTTATTATCTTTGGATTTAAGTAGTAAACAAAAAAAATTACTAAAGGTTCAGCTATAAGCACTTCTCCCTCTTTTTCTCCAGATCAAAAGTATATGGTTTTTAGTTCCGATATGAGTGGGAGTCAGCAGCTGTATGTTATCGATTTTACTAACAAAAGTAAAAAAACCTAAAAGAATTAGTTTTGGAAGTGGAAGATGTTACGCCTGTTTGGTCGCCAAAAGGAGACCAGATAGCTTTCACAAAGATCCATTCAGGAAAATTTTACATAGGAGTTATGAAGCCAGATGGCAAAGAAGAACGTCTACTTTCAGAAGGGCATAAAATTGAATCTCCGGTATGGCTAACAAATGGTAGAGAAATCATTTTCACAAGAACAGAATCACCAAGCAACTCTAAACTATATTTAGTAGACTTAGTGAAGAAAAATCAAAAAATGGTTTCCACTCCCTCAAATGCTTCTTTACCAGATTGGTATTATTCTTGAACTACTGAGCTGCATGCTCCACAGCATTGATTTATTGCTACATTAACAAGATATCCCGCTACACTACCTACTATAGTACCAGCGATTCCTGACAACACAACAGTTGCAATTACTCCAATAGCAAGCAGCAATTTCAGGTATAATTCCCATTGTAGCCATTGTGGCTCCTATAGGGCCAAATAATAATGCTGAGCTTATAATTATCCAGCTCCTCCCTGAAGATTGTTTCTGTGTAGAATTATGTATTAAGATGTATATGAACAAGTAGAGAGAGCAAGCAAAGTTTTGCATATTGATGAAACTAGCCATTATTCTAAAGGTAAACTTGGCTGGTGCTGGGTATTTGCTAATAATGAAGCAAGCCTTATTAAATTAGCAGACACAAGAGGAGTTAAGTTTCTAGAAAGTAGTACATTTTCTAGTTATAAGAATTTGGTTGTTACCGATAGGTATGCGTTTTACAACTACTTCAGTGACGAAAAAAGACAGATTTGTTTGGCACACTTGTTAGGGGATTTCGAAAGGCTATCTATCCACTTTAAATGGTGCTATATTGGGCCTTAACTTGACGCGTATGGTTTATTTAACACTCCAGGTTAAAATAATTACTTAGCAAACAATAGGTTTCATGTAATGGTAACCCTATAACGGAAGAGTAGGAGCCGCGTAAGAACAATACGAACATCCCAGCTAGGCCTTGTATATTGCATCCCCCTGCCCTATTTTGCCACTCTTCTGATGCCAAATAATACTTAATTTCTTGTTCACTGAGACGTTTAAATTTCACTATTGTAACCACAGTTCTAAAATGTTGTTTAGATTGATCGGGATTTAATAGACATACACTGGTATATACTCTATGCCTTCTTCCTGATAACGAGCGGATGCATCTTTTTGCTTGCTCAACATTTTCAGCTTTAAGCAATATCCTTCTACCACAAGCAACAACTGTATCAACACCAAGCACAAAGTAATTTGGATTTGAACTTTGTGTTTTCTCAGCTTTACTTTTTGCCATACAGATTGAGTAATCCTTTGGAAGTTCATTTTTTAAAGGGGATTCATCTACGTCTGCTGGCAAAATTAAACGTGGCTCAATATTTATTTGTTTTAGTAAAGCTATACGCCTTTTCGATGATGAAGCAAGAATAAGATTATTTAGAGATCGTTCTGTCACTTGTACCTTTAAGCCTTCTAATGATCCGACCTTTTTTCGCATTCCTATCGTAAATGCTCATCTCAACTAACAACCTATCCCCGATAATGATGCGTATTTTGCTTCTTCTCACTTTCCCTGATACATGACAGATAATCTCATGTTCATTGTCCAGTTTCACTTTAAATTCTGCTGCAGGTAGTGAAGCAGTTACTGCCCCTTCCACTTCAAAAAGTGTTTTCGATTTCTCGTCTTTTATTATATGTTATATTATAATTTAATAGTCTTTTTCAGTCTACTATCGATATATTATTTATAGATAGATAGATTTATATTTTAGATTATAGATAGATTTTAAATTATTATCAACACAAAAGACTTTTTGCACTTTACCCACTTAAGTATTTCTCTTGCAACTTAACCCCAACCATCTTCACAATAATGCGAGAGGAAGGTGAGCTACCTACTTACGTTTCTACTCCTTGCCTGTGCTCTGACAGGACTTGCTGACCCTAGGAATAGAACTGAACTACAAGGATGATTATCACAGTTCTCCTCATTGCCATCATATGCGCTATCATTGTCCCCTTCCTGTGGAACATGACTTATTATCAGATTCACTATCAAAGCTTAAAGATCTGGATAACTCTATCTTCTTTCGTGGAACATTATCAGGCTCACTAGAAATGTCTCCTGTTAGAGTATAAAATTGATTGTTGAAGCCTTTTTGTTTATCAGCAAACGTTTCTTCACTTAACTCTTCTACTTGACTTGACGGAAAAACTCTTTTTCTTTTTCACTGTTTTGTAATTTTTTCATCAGACCTTCAATATCCAAAACTTTACCTGCAATGATGTCGCTCAATGCATCAAGGTTATCTTCCAATTCCTTAATCTCATCTTCATGCTCTCTATCCATGGATTCCAATATTGATGCTACGCACTCTTTAAACTCATTATGCATGTTTTCTAACTTTCCTATCTTTTGTTCATAAGATTCCAGTTGTGCTTTATACTCATTTTCCAACCGTAGCATTTGATATTTTAAACTGCTCCTTTTCCTTCATTATGTGTGCTGCTTGGTCTATCTCTTTTTCAAATTCTCTTAATTTGTTTTCTAATTCCTTCTTTTCTGTATTAACACCTTTCAGCTTGTCCTCCAGCTTTCTTTTTTCTTCATGCACACTTTTAAATTCTTCCTCAGGAATGAGGAAGAATTTCCAGTTGAGAAAAGTCTTCAGGTTTTCTTTGAGCTGTGTTAACTCCTTGCATATTTCATCTATTTCTGCCTTTGATCCTCGCTTCTTTTTTTTAAGTTTATCTTTTAAACCACTAGTTTGTTTTTTTTAATGCTTCAATTCTTTGCCCATCTTCTGCAAGTTTCTGATTTACTTCTTTTTTTTCTGCTTCAGCACTTTTTAACTTATTGATTAATTCTTGGATTACCTCTTGATAAATCTTTTTGCAGATCTAATACTTGTTTTGAAAACCGTTCTTTATTTTCCTCTATATCCTTATTAGAGCGTTCCAACTTATCAAACTTGTACTCTAAATCAGACTTTTCTTCCTGGACATGATATAGTTGCTCTTGCGATTTCTTTAATTCACTTTTTAACTCCTCCTTTTTTGCATTAGCAACTCCCAGCTCTTGCCTTAGCTTTCCTTTTTAGGGTTCCGTAGTCAACTAGGACCGCCGTACTTGCCGTGTAGTGGCGGTTAAGAATATCCACTACCCCATATCTTCCCGTGGGTGTCGTAAAAGGTGACAGAGGGACACAGGCAGGAGATGGGCAGCAGCATCTTCCTGATAACAGCAACTGTACGACAAAAAAAAACTGCGGTTGCCAACCCGCTCGCCAAGCGTGGCAACTATGGCAATATACCCCCCCATGAACAATTACACAAATAGACGGCCCCCAGTCCCCGGCGGCCCCGCTATTCCTGGCTACGGTGGCAACCATGGTAACGGCGGGGCAGGGGGTGCTAAGAATCTCCGGTGGAGGTTTCTGTCTCACTCTGAGGACTGACGAGAAGATCCTGGAGCTGGAAGAAGAGATAGACAAGTTGCGCTGGAATATTATAGGATTATCCGAGGTCCGAAGAGAGGGGGAGGACACGGTGATTCTCGAACCGGCAACTTGTTCTATCACCGGGAGGGCGACCATCTGTCCCAAGGAGGTGTCGGATTTATCGTCCACAAGTCTCTCGTCAACAACGTTGTAAAGATTGGAAGTGTGTCGACGAGGGTCGCGTACCTGATACTCAGAATCACCAAACGGTATTCGCTGAAGGTCATACAGGTTTACGCACCAACCTCGGCACATCCCGATGAGGAGGTGGAGGAAATGTATGAGGATATTTCCAAAGCCATGCATTCCTCCAAAACTCACTACACGGTGTTGATGGGAGACTTCAACGCAAAACTAGACACAAGAGAAAACGGTGAGCTGAAGTTAGGGAAATTTGGAGTAGGGCATCGGAACCGAAGGGGCCAGCAGCTGGCCGACTTTATGGAGAAAGAGGGACTCTTTATGATGAACTCTTTCTTCCAGAAGCGGCCCCACAGGAAGTGGACCTGTCGAGCCCCGACGGTTCGACAAAAAATGAGATTGACTTCATTATGACGACCAGACGCCAACTGTTCAGTGATGTCTCAGTGACCGCAAGGGTGAAAACTGGCAGCGATCACCGAATGGTTAGAGGCACACTGAACCTAAACGTTAAGTTGGAGAGGTCTCGTCTAATGAAGTCAACGCTCCGTCCCCCCTCGTGCTCTAATCCAGAATCCCGAAAACTTTCAGCTCGAGTTACGTAACCGCTTTCAGTGCCTACAAGATTGCAATTCAGTGGACGATATGAATGACAAGCTCGTGGAAACTGTCCATGCGGTCACAAGAACACAAAAACTCTCCGATCACACTCTTAATCTCATGGCTGTTAAACGGGCGATGAGGCTGCAATCGTCAACAGATTTGATAGCATACAGGCAACTGAACAGATATATCTCCAAATGCATGCGGCGAGACTTACGCAACTTTAATACTGCTCGTATTAAAGAAGCGATCGAGCGGAACCGAAACTCCAAAGTCTTTGCCAGAGATCTGTCTCCCAGTAAGAGCCAACTGTCAAAGCTGAAGACTGAGTGTGGCAGCATCGTTTCCGGGACACCTGAGATTTTGAGTGAGATTGAGAGGTTCTATGGGCAGCTGTACACATCATCGTTGGAGCCACACGCAAGTGTGAGTAACGATCCAAGAGCAAGTCTTATCCGACACTATTCCGATGATATCCCGGACGTCAGTCTATGCGAGATTAGAATGACTTTCCAGCACCTTAAAAATGGCAGGGCCCCAGGCGAGGATGGAATTACAGCGGAGCTTCTGAAAGCGGGTGAAACACCGGTACTTGAAGTCCTTCAGAAGCTCTTCAATTCCGTCCTCCATGGTGGCACTACTCCAGAGGCGTGGAGCAGAAGTGCGGTGGTCTTGTTCTTTAAGAAAGGCGACAACGCTCTCTTAAAGAACTACAGACCGATTTCCCTTCTGAGCCGCGTCTACGTGCTGTTTTCGAGAGTCATTACGAATCGTCTCGCACGCAGACTCGACGACTTCCAGCCTCCCGAACAAGCTGGTTTCCGAAAAGGCTTCAGTACCATAGACCACATACATACCCTGCGGCAGATTGTACAGAAGACTGAAGAGTACAATCTGCCACTTTGCCTGGCGTATGTGGACTATGAGAAAGCCTTTGATTCCGTCGAAATTTGGGCGGTGCTACAGTCCCTTCAGCGGTGCCAAGTTGACTGTCGGTATATCGAACTGCTGAAGTGTTTGTACAGTAGGGCTACGATGGCTATCCGAGTACAGAACCAGAGCTCGAAACCTATCCAACTGCAGAGAGGTGTAAGACAGGGTGACGTTATATCCCCGAAACTCTTCACCGCTGCATTGGAAGACGTTTTCAAGCTACTGGACTGGAAAGGATACGGTATTAACATCAATGGCGAGTACATCACTCACCTTCGATATGCCGACGATATAGTCCTTATGGCAGAATCGCTGGAGGACTTAAGCACTATGCTCAATGACCTCAATAGTGCCTCCCAACGGATAGGTCTTAAGATGAACATGGACAAAACAAAGATCATGTTCAATGTCCATGTCACACCTATGCCGGTAGTTGTTGGGAGCACTAAGCTCGAAGTTGTTGACGAGTGCGTTTACCTGGGACAAATAGTCCGGCTAGGTAAGTCCAACTTCGACCGAGAGGTCAATCGACGGATTCAACTCGGCTGGGCAGCGTTCGGGAAATTACGACATATATTCTCGTCAGGTATACCTCAATCTCTAAAAACTAGATTGTACAACCAGTGCGTGTTGCCAGTGATGACTTACGGATCTGAGACGTGGTCCTTCACTGCTGGCCGTATGAGGACGCTCAAGGTCGCTCAGCGAGCTATGGAGAGGGCTATGCTCGGAGTTTCTCTGCGTGATAGACTCAGAAATGAGGATATCCGCAGTAAAACCAGAGTGACCGACATAGCCCAACGGTTAGTAAGCTGAAGTGGCAATGGGCCGGCAGCTATATGTAGCTCGAAGAACCGATAACCGATGGGGAAGAAAGGTTCTTGAGTGGCAGCCTCGTACCGGTAGGCGTAGTGTAGGGCGACCCCCCACTAGATGGAGTGACGACCTGGTAAGATATGCAGGAAGTCGATGGATGCAGGTGGCTCAGGACCGTGCTTTGTGGCATTACTTGGGGGAGGCCTATGTTCAGCAGTGGACTTGTGAAGGGCTGTAATGATGATGATGATGAGTCAACTAGGAACCCTTATAGTTTCGCCATGTCTGTCTTTCCGTCTGTCCGTCCTCGCTTAATCTCTGTGACCGTTAGCACTAGAAAGCTGTAATTTGGTACCAATATGTGTATCAATCACTCCGACAAAGTGGTAAAATAAAAATTGGAAAAAAATGTTTTATTAGGGTAGCCCCCCTATATGTAAAGTGGTAAGTGATTTTTTTTTAATTTCAACCCTAAAGTGTGATATATTGTTGGAAAGGTATTTAAAAATGAATAGGGGTTTACTAAAATCATTTTTTGATAATGTCAATAATTTCGGAAATAATCGCTCCAAAAGTAAAAAACATGTGTCCCCCCCTCCCCCCTCTAACTTTTGAGCCATAAGTTTAGAAAATATAAAAAAAATCTGAAAAGTAGAACTTTATAAGGACTTTCTAGGAAAATCATTTTGAACTTGGATGGAAACAACAGTACCCACTACCGGGACCAGTTGCAGGAGCGCGGAGCGCTGCCGGAGCGCGAACATAATGGATACCCACCTTTAAACTCATAAGTGGGAACACTTATTGTGACGGACGGGAAACTATGGAACTCTACACTGAGCGTGGCCCGACACGCTCTTGGCCGGTTTTTTCTTCATATACACTTTTAAGTTCTTGTGCTTTCCCTTGTAGCTCTGCTAACGCGCTTGCTAACTCTTCATCTTTTTGTGCAAGTTCAGTTTGCAATTTTGTGTTTTTTTGCTCTTCTTTTCTAAACCTGTTTTGTAAATCAGTTATTTGTTGTGAAGCAACTTCTGGTTGAGTTTCAGTGTGCTGTAAATTGACTTCTGTTTGAATCAATACATTGCTATTAATGGAAGGAGAAGGATGAAGGATGTTGTCATCATCAACTTTAGGGTCTAATTTCCCCTCTGGTTCCTTATCTTGATAGGCCGCCATAGACTCATTTTGAAAATTATTATTAGCAGTAGATATAACATCAGCAGCCTTACCCTTTTCTAGTGATTTCATTACAGCATCATGTAAGACGAGGCCTTGAATATATAATTCATCGTTTTGCTTTATTAATTCTAGGATCTCTTCCGATGACACAAAATCTTCACCATCAAATTTTAGTACTTCAGTTATGCCGCTACTACTCACATTCATAATCATGGTACACATTCTGGATCCATTCTCTACAGGCCACGTGCTTGTCATTTCATAATATGCGCCTTCTTTAAATTCATAATATCTTTTCTTATCTTCTTGATGAGCGTATATTTCATGTTTTTTATTGCAATAGATATTCAATTCTTTAATATCTTTCTCTTGCTGTAAAATGTCACTAATTCTTGTTGGCTCACTTCTATTGTAATTAATAAGGTTAACATTCAAAACTCTATGAGCGTTATCAGTTTCTGTGTAATAAGCTTGAAGCTCTACGTCTTTCATCTCAAAATATTTACTTGCAGCTTTTTTCCCCTGCTCTGCCAACTCTATGCATTTATTTATATCGTCCTTAAAGCTCTTATTAGCAGACTCTGTTACTGCTTCATCTATGTAAGTTTGTTTAAAATCTCTATCGTTTATTAGGTCATAAAACTCCACTCATCCCCAAAAGCCCCCTGCACGTAAGTGAAATTCTTGTTTTCCTTTAGTTTTCTTAAGAACTACACTTTTTCTTTTTTTTTATAGAAGAATGGGCAAACGAGCATGCGGCTCATCTGATGTTAAGTGACTACCGCCGCCCATGATCAACCGCAACACCAGGAGAATTGCGGGTGCGTTGCCGGCCCTTTAGAAAGGAGTAAGCTCTTTTCTTGAAGGTCCCCAGGTCGTATCGGTCCGGAAAAATCGCCGGTGGTAAACTATTCCACAGAGAGGTTGTACGTGGAAGAAAACTCCTTGTGAAACGTACAGTGGTGGACCGCCAAGCATCCAGATGGTGTGGATGGTATCGGGACGTTTGCCGTGTAGTGCGTTCACGAAATTTGGCGGCTGGGATTACTCCGAACAATTCCTCCGAGCACTCCCCGTGATAGATGCGATAAAATACGCAAAGAGATGCAACATCTCTTCGCAGCGCCAGTGAATCGAGCCGATCGGAAAGCACTCGGTCGTCGACGATTCGAGCCGCTCTGCGCTGGATGCGGTCAAGTGGAAGGAGCTGGTACTGGGGAGCCCCAGCCCAGAGATGGAAACAGTATTCCATGTGCGGCCGAACCTGCGCCTTGTAAAGTTGCAGGCGGTGTGCCGGCATGAAATAGTGTCCCGCTCTGCTGAGCACGCCATGCTTTTTAGAGGCCAATTTGGCCTTCCCTTCCAAGTGACCACGAAACTGCACGTCATTCGATATGTCGACGCCGAGGATTCCGATACTGGCTGAGGCAACAAGGGGAGTGCCTTGAAACTGAGGGGATACGACAAAGGGGTTCTTTTTAGCGGTTAACGCGCAAAGTTGTGTCTTTTGGGGGTTAAACTGGACTAGATTTAGTCGTCCCCAATCCGAGACTCTGTTCAGCAAAGACTCGACTTCAGACACAAGTTTAACCCGGCACTCGGAGACGTTTTCCCGAGAAATATTGGCTCGGCCGGTGTAAAGAGCATCACCAGTGCTGTCATCTGCATAGCAATGAATGTTACGGGTATGCTACATATCATTGATATGCAGAAGAAACAGCGTTGGCGATAGCACGCAGCCCTGTGGAACACCAGCATTAATATGCTTGCAATCGGAGCTTGCACCGTCTACAACGACCTTGATGCTCCGATCTGCAAGAAAGCTGGTGATCCAATCGCACAATTTCTCGGGAAGCCCATAGGAAGGGAGCTTCGAAAGAAGCGCTTTGTGCCAAACCCGATCGAAGGCCTTCGCAATGTCCAATCTAACGGCAAATGCCTCCCCCTTGAACTCTACTGCCTCCGCCCATCTGTGAGTGAGGTAGACCAGAAGATCACCAGCTGACCGACCACGGCGAAAACCGTATTGGCGGTCACTAATCAGCTGGTGATCTTCAAGGTACCTCATGAGCTGGCAGTTTACAATGGACTCCATTGTTTTGGAGAACAAGGAGGTGATGGCGATTGGTCGGTAGTTGGACGGGTCTGAGCGGTCGCCTTTTTTAGGGATCGGGTGGACGAAAGCCGTCTTCCATGATTTTGGGACTACGCCTAGGGAGTAGGAGTACCGGAAAAGACGCGTTAAAACCGGTGCCAACTCTGGAGCACACGTCCTCAGCACAATTGGGGGGATTCCGTCAGGCCCACTCGACTTGTGGAGACATCCATGTCCAGGGAGAGGAGTGCTTTGCGAACCGAGCGCTGTGTGATCTGCACTTCCGGCATGGAGCACTCACACCGCGGGATGGTCGGCGGCGTACTCCCCCCGTCATCGAGAGTCGAGTTAGACGCAAAGAAAGAGCCTAGAAGATCGGCTTTCTCCTTTGCAGTATGGGCCAGTGAGTCGTCCTCCCTGTGCAGAGATGGAAGAGATGGCTGACAGAAATTCCCTTGGACAGCCTTGGCGAGAGACCAGAATGCACGGGTTCCAGAAGGAAGGCGAACTAGTTTCTCACTAGTTTCTCGCCAATTCTGCCTATGTGTGCTGACTTTGCCTTGGCAATGACTCTTTTGAAGGACCTAGAGGCGGAATTATACTTCTTTTTTAGAGCGCTGGTGTTTACATCCCGGGACGCTGATGCATCAACCCAGGCTTGGTAGCACTCCTGCTTATAGCATGATGCTATTTTACAGGAGCGACCAAACCATGGCTGAGATTTGCCTCCAATGGGCACCACAGAGGAATGAATAAAAAGTTCCATACCCTGAAGTACCACATCAGTAACAGAATCCGCAACAACGTTGGGATCATCCGGCGAGAAGCAAACCCGCCCCCAAGGGTAGGAAGCAAAGAAAGACCGCATCCCATCCCAATCGGCTGACCTATAGTGCCAAACACGGCGGCAGCCTGCAGAATGCAACCGCGATTTCAGCGTGAGTGGCACAACACTCCGGACCAGACAATGGTCCGAGGAGCCTAAAGGGGCGTCGACGGAAATCTGATATCCGTCCGGGTGAGAGGTCAGCAGAAGGTCCAACAGGGAAGGTGCATGATCCTCCACATCTGGAATCCGCGTAGGCGAAGTAACCAGTTGTGTCAGACCATATGCCAAGGCAAAATCATGAACAGATCTCCCCGCATGATCGGTTAAACGTGAACCAAGCCATTCGGCGTGATGGGCGTTAAAGTCGCCGAGGATCACGATCTCAGCGGAGGGGATCTGCTGTAGCAACGAATCTGCAGCCATTTGGACGTGGTCGAAGAGTCGGTCTGTTTCGGCATTACCGCTATGGGACCTATAGAGGCACCCGTAGACGCGCGGATGGTCGTCGCTGTCTACGCGTAGCCAAAGGATGGACAGGTCCGAAACTTCAAGTCTGCCGAGGCGTCGAGAACAGATGTCCTCTCTAACGTAAACGCAAACTCCAGCCGGAGGCACAAAGGAGTGTTCCAGTTTGTACCCCGGGTAGGAGAGATACGAGACATCAGCCGGAGAGGACACCTGCGTCTCGGTCAGAAAGAGCAGAGCCGGCCTCGCCGTCTCGAGATGGTAGTGGACGGCGTTTAGGTTAGAGTGAAGTCCCCTGATATTGCAGAAATTCACGGAGAGCGTGGCAGGGGTCGCCTTGGTCTTGTTGCTCCGTTTGCCCCGAGCAGTTGTAGTCTTGAGCGGAATTTTGCCCCTCCCCCAGAATACGCGGGGCAGCCTGAGCACCCGCGCTCAGAAGTGGAGAAACATGGTCGTGGATGCTCACCGAGGTATTCTCCAGGGGTCCTGGTACCCTCCTGGGGTAGTCTATCATTATTTAATTCCGCTACCATGTTGATGGGGGGGGGGGGGGGATTTGGGAGCCTCCGGCCACCTGCACTCACCAGACGGAACGCGGAAGCAGAGCTTCCACTTCACGCCGGTATTCTGTGAGGTCGTGGTACCATCCCGGTTTGAGCCGGCCCATATGTGCAACAGCAAAGCTGCCGCGTGGCTCTACCACTGTCGAAAACCTTTTCTTTCAGATTTTTCAGTTGAAAGCTTACCCTTGCCTTTACACTAGAGTTTTTAGCGGGAACACTAACTTCTTCTAATTCTTTAAGTAATTTATTATCTTTTATAATTGAGTAACAAAACTTTACAATAGCAGAATTTGCAAACGAAGGATCTCTTTTTATACCTTCATCAATAATTTCTTTAAAATGTGCAAATTGAGGTAGAACATAAAAATCGATTATTTCTTTTTCTGATCTCATTTTATTAGCATAAGAGATATTGCTTAATTGTGAATATAACACTTTGAATGTATGGTAGATAAGCGTAGAGTAATAAACTTCCCTATTCAGTGAAGTTGGTCCAATACAAAAATGCTTTTCAAATTGATCACCTATTTTTCCTGCCTCTGCTGCTTTCTCTCCCTTAATCAAACCTCCAATCATAACACACCTCATTTGACTATATTTATATTATACCAATTAATGTATAATCAAAAATCAAACTGTATAACCACGCTCTACACTAACTTTTATTATTAACTTAATTGTGTTGAAAATAAATGCAAGTGTTAACCTTAGGCCTTTGTATTTTATTGTACACTACTCACTATAAGTTTATAATAATATCTTGTACAATAGACTTAGCATTTTGAGTGATGCAAGTATTTTTTTTATTGGATAAAAGTTAAAGTACGTTTTCAGAAATCTTATTAATTTTTCTAACTTGTCTATATATTTTATTAAATTGATAGGCAATGCTTCAATCGAACTTTTACCTTGAGTATTTTCTTTCCAGCCAGAAAACTCTTCATATATTGGCTCTAATTCCTCCTGTATTGAATGCGATGCGGGTAAATAATCATACATTTTCCCGCTATACTTGTAACTAGTGCATATTTTAATTGTATCAAAAGAATCAAGCACATTTAATTTTGTTAATACAATGCTTGAAACTCCAGAAAGTTGCACAGCTTGGCGCACTAAAACTGCGTCAAACCATCCGCAGCGCCTTCTTCTATTGCTCACTGTTCCAAGCTCCTTACCTATAGTAAACAAGCTATCTCCAATCTCGTTCTTTTGCTCAGTAGGGAATGGACCATTGCCTACTCTTGTTGTATAAGCTTTTACCACACCAATAATGTAAGCATTGGAGGATAATCCTGAGCCTGTTATTGCTTGCGACGCTACAGTATTACTTGAAGTAACAAAGGGGTAAGTTCCGTGGTCGATATCTAAAAATGTGCCTTGAGCACCTTCAAATATTATTTTCTTACCTTCTTTCACAAAGTCATTTAATATCCTCCACACAGGTTTTTTATATGAAAGAATTTTTTTTAAAATCCCTTGAATTTCTTTTAATATTTCTTCTTTTTTAACCATCTGGTAGTTAAGGCCTTGTCTGATAGCATTGTGGTAATTTAGAAGAGTATCCACTCTTTTATTGAGCTCATCTGCGTTTTCTAAATCACAAAGGCGTATAGCTCTCCTTCCAACTTTATCTTCATAACATGGCCCTATCCCTTTGTTTGTTGTACCAATTTTGTGATTTCCGTTTAAATCTTCAAATAGCTTTTCCTTGTCCTTATGTACGCTAAGTGTTAATGGACAGCTCTCGGATACCATCAATTTGTTATAGTTTACGTCCACTCCTTTAACTTTCAATGACCTATTTCTGAGATTAGAGCATGTGAATCAAGAGCAACACCGTTTCCTATGATGATAACAGCAGAGGGCAGTAAATTTAATTTATAAACCTCATCGTCTATTACTATAGTGTGCCCTGCATTATTTCCTCCCTGAAATCTCACAACTACATCTGCACTCCCAGAAAGATAATCTACTATTTTACCCTTGCATTCGTCGCCCCATTGCAGACCAACAACTACAATATTATTCATCATTATTTTCTAAATTAATACACAAATATTAATGCAATACACTACAAATGGAAAGAGAAATATGCGCCTTTCCTTCACCTCTTACATAAAGAAATGTACTGTCGATTTTCTTGATATACTCGTATTACCAAATTATTCATCGTTATATGATATAACTTACAGAATATTTACAGTAAGGTATTATTTATGAAAGAGGCAAAAGGAAAAAATAATAAGAGTCCAGTAGTTAGATTAAAGGCCACAGTTAAAGAGTTCAATTTTAGTAAATTAAGAGCAGGTCAAGATAATGAATTAGCAAATTCTGGTGAAACAATATTCTTAGATTTTCAAAGGATGAATTTTATTATTAACGGAAAAGAAATAGATAAAAATCTTATTATTGCATTTAAGGAAGGAGCTAAGCACCACAAAAGCGAACTTTTTAATAGTGATGATATATATAAGGACGAAATATTTAACAAAAAAGGAACAAGAGAAATAGATACGGATCATGGCAAAGCTTTTGTTGCTTCAGTACTCAAAGATATCGAGAAAGAGCTTGTAAATAATGCATTGGGAGAGCTATGGAAAAATCACTGTGAAAATCCCAAAACTTCCAATCATCAAAAAACCGATTCATATAAGAAAGAATTTGAAGAATTTTACAATGCTGGCCAACATCTATTACCAACAGAGAAAGATGAAAACAAAGACTACCGTTCCTTTGCAAAAGAAGTTTTCAAGAAAATATTCAGATACGCTGGGGCAGAAGTTCCAAGTAATGCTATTTTAGAAGAGCTAGTCACCAATTGTAATCAAGCAGGGTATGAGTCTGCTCCATTTATACAAACTCAACTTGCACTTGGACAGTCGTTCATAGTAGAAAATCCTAAAAAAGTAATAAATATTGATTGTGCTAACCAAAATAATGTAAGAATTAGATCTGACATGAGGCTACCAATACTCTCTGTTAAAAATCAAGTTATGCATGGTGATAAGATATGTGATCTGTCTAACTCATTAGAATTTACACTTGAGTCTCAAGATGGTAAAGACTTTGTAACATACAGAGATGGTAAATTGTCACTTACTATTCCTAAAGAGTTAAAAAATTATAAAGATAATGGCAAGAGCTTGTTTGACATTATTGAAGAATATTTTCAGAAATTCTGTGCAAAATTAGGATTTAAACCTGAAACAAAAATACAAATAGAGCATAGCTTAGGTGCTCAAAGTAACTATATAATGGAATTAGGATCTTTACCTTCTTTGATAAAAGGTCAGGTTAATCATAATCAAGTGCAATCTGTTGTAAATAATTTTATTAAGTTAATTATTAAAGGGAAAAGCGAAGTATACAAAGAAAAAATGCAATTAATGCAATTGATGCAATTCATCAGAAGATAGATAAGGCAATTGTTGAGCAAGAAAAAAGATAAACCAACAAACAAGATATAGAAAATGATAAATGGACAGATAGAATCAAAAAACAGAAATTATCTGTGGAATCAAATGAACATTTACTTTAAAGATTCTGGTAGTCTCCTTGAATATTTTAGAGTTCATAGTTGCAACGGTTGCTATTTTACAATGCACCTAATCGTAAAAACTACGTGCCGTTGCATCATATGTTTCAAGAACGTTGGTAAAATGTTCAAGTTGACCTCGATTCAATACCTGATCTATTCTAGTTAGTTGGTCATTGCTGCTTTTAAAATTAGTTAGATCACATAACATAGCACGTTCTTCAGTTTCAGCAGGCAAGTATTTAAAGTGACCAAAGATATTTTACCTAATTTTCTCTAGCATATTTAGCTGTATACTTACAAAGCTACCTAATACCGCATACTGATTTCTCTCTTTATTTTGTACAAATTAATTAAGTGAAGTGAGTATAGTATCCAAACTACTAAAAAAAATGTGGCACAAAACATAAACATTACAATGAGTGGCAACAGAAAAGAACTTTCTATTGCTACTCCACCTCTTCTCAAAATGCTTGCTGGCTGATGGAGAGTAGACCATAAATTCACAGAAAATTTTACTACGGGAATATTTATAGCACTAAAAATGGCAAATACTGCTGCTGATTTTTCTGCTCTCGCTTCATTATCAAAAGCGCTCCACAATAAAAGGTAGCCAGCATATAGGAAAAATAAAATTAGCATTGAAGTAAGCCTTATATCCCATACCCACCAAGTGCCCCAGGTTCCTTTTCCCCAGATGCTACCTGTGATTAAGCATATTGCAGAAAAGACTGTCCCTGCAGGAGTGGCAGCATGTGCCAAGACACTAGCAATGCTATTGTTCCATACCAATGAAATGAAACTAAGTGATGCAATGAGTCCATATATTCCAAGAGCAAGCCATGCAGAAGGCACATGAATGTAGATAATTCGTACAATTTCTCCTTGTTTATAATCTTCTGAGGAGAAGAATAACGCTAAAAACATTCCAATCAAAAACATGCGAAACAAATGATCCCAATCCAAGGTAATGCTTTTTTAGAAAAAGAAGTGAAATTTGTAGGCTTTAATAAGAGTAAAAACATTCGTTTTGAGAATAATTGCGTTAAGAATTTGCCAATTAGTTTGAGTTTCATCAACAGGATAGTTTTTCTGCATTGACATAGATTAACAAATTAGCACAATTTCAGTAGCAGATTGCTTGCTATTATTTTTAGTATATGACCTTTAAAAAGCTTAATCTACATTTAGTATCAGATTCAAGTGGTGAAACTGTTATATCAGTTGCAAAATCAGCCCTGAAACACTTTCGTTCTATAGAAACAATCGAATATGTTTGGTCTTTTCTAAAAGGAGAAGAGCAGATTGACAAAATTCTGGAGGAAATTAATAAGAAAAGTGATGAGCATAATTTTGTTATATGCACTATTACTGATGATGAGCTAAAAAAATATCTAAAAGATAACTGTATAAAGTTGAAAATTCCCTATAGAGCAATATTATCACATATTATTAGAGAAATTTCGTCCTATCTTGAAATTGAAAAAGACGAAAAGCTTGACTTGCATGCTGAGATAAATAACGAATATTTTCAGCGCATTGAGTCAATAAACTACACTATTAATCATGAGGATGGGCAAAATATTCAAGATGTTGATAAAGCAGATATAATTTTGGTTGGAGTTTCACGTACATCAAAATCTCCCACCAGTACGTATTTAGCTTACCGGGGCTATAAGGTTGCAAATATTCCTTTTATTAGTGAGTTACCCTTTTATGTCGACTTGGCAAAATTAAAAAATAAACTAACGATAGGGGTAACAATAGACGTAAGTAGGTTAATAGAAATACGCAAAAATAGTCTTACTTCAATTAACAACGAAGATAATAATATATATGCTAACCCTGAGAAAGTAGAAAAGGAAATTAAAGAGGCAGAGGAACTATTTAAGCAGAACAAATGGCCAATTATTGATGTCACGCAAAAGTCAATCGAAGAAGTATCAGCAACAATTATACAGTATTTTAATAAAATGTGAAAAATTTATCAATTTACTAACTCTCTGTAAGTGATCATAATGTAAGTTGATTTAATTCTTACTATAGATATGAAAGTCAAAGGGTCGCTAAAATCTCATCGTAACAGAGATAAAAATTGTAAAGTAGTGAAAAGGGGTGGTAAGATTTACATTATAAACAAGGTAAAGCCAAGGTGTAAAGCGCGTCAAGGTTCTTAGCTTTTTGTTCACCTTTTTATGTTCACATTTCTTGTATGTGAAAGTACGGTGCTTATACCTAAAAGGAAGCAAAAGTTACTGTGTTTAAGCGCAGCCTTATTCATTTCTTCTCTTACATTATATTTTAGCATTAGCACAATTACAGGTAAACGTGTCTTATTGACGTTAATCGACTTAAAAAAAGAGATTGAGTACAATAAGCTTTTGCTAAAGGATATCTCTTCTGAAAAGGAAAAGTTGGACAATAAAGTATTTGGCTTATATGAAAAAAGCTTAGATTTAGATCTGCTTGTTGCGTTACCTCCTGTCATTCAAGCCCCTTTCTTGTCATCCCAGTGCCCCTATGATGTCATTCCAGTGTCAAGCACTGGAATGACATCATTATAGAGTGAACCAGTGTCAGCTACTTTCATGACACCATTCTTTTTTCTGGATTCCAGTGCCATTTGCTTTCATGACACCATCATAAAGTGAAACTACAAACAAAAAAGAGTAGGTTTTTTATGTGATTATGCAAGAATCTAGTGTAAATTTAAGTTTTATCTACCGCTTGATCAAAAAAGAATAAGTTTAGTAAAAAATAATGATATTATTAGTGGAACATAAAATAGTCCCACTGCAGTACTAATTAGAAGCAACAGAGTAGCTTTATCTGGTTGATAATTCAAAATATTAGCAAGTATTATACTGGACCCAGAAACTGGAATAATAGCCAGCAACATCAGTGCTTTATATATACTCTCGTCGTATATACCTATAACATAATGATTTCTTATATTTACGCGAACACTACACATTGAAATAATACTAGTTTTTACGGAATTTATCGCGTATATTTAACTTTTTAATACCCGACGTTTCGAGAGCTTTACAGCACCCATGGTCACGGGAAGGACTGAGATGATGATGACCATAGATTAAAATTTAGATCGGAACAAAAGTTAAATTTACGATTACGATACGACCTGGGGACCTTCAAGAAAAGAGCTTACTCCTTTCTAAAGGGCCGGCAACGCACCCGCAATTCTCCTGGTGTTGCAGTTGATCATGGGCGGCGGTAGTCACTTAACATCAGGTGAGCCGCATGCTCGTTTGCCCCTCGTTCTATAAAAAAAAAGTTTGGCTAGAAGGACAATTCCTAAAACAAATAGTGGCCAGAATATGTACTTTGCTGTAATAGTGATCAAAGCAAGCTTCCAATCTACTTTAAAGCTTGTAATATTTGCAATGCTCACTCCAAGTAGCATCATCCCTATTGTGACAAATGTACTTCTAATATTCATCATAACATCTGTTAAAAAAGTAGGTATTTGTATATCATATATACTTAAAAAGAAGCCCAGAACCGTCGCATAAAGCGAAGGAAGTTTGAACAACTTTAATATGCATTCTTTTGCGGTATAAATACCATTTGTAGCTATGTAAAATCCTAAGCTATTTTCAAACAACGCCATTCCTATATAACAAACAACATATACAGATACTGAATCTTCATCAAACAAAGCCATGGCAATCGGCAGGCCAAAATAACCCATACTTGTGCTGCCCGAGCTAAACGCTAATATGTTTCTCGTGTTATCCTTAAATAAAAAAGAAGAAAGATAATACACTGATAAGGACATAGTGCTATCTATAAACCATATCAAAATCGGCAGAGAAATTACTTTTAAATTAACTTCTGTATGAGAGACTCCATATAAAATCACTATTGGATTAGCTATATAGAAGAGTATTTGAGATATAGTGTTTCTGTCAATTTTAAGACATTTTCCCGCTAAATAACCAATAAATACTGTAATATACATAGGTAATATTTTTAGGAAAAGAGTAAGGAATATACTAGCCTATTGTGATACTTTTGACTGATAAAGTAATATTAGATCTTAAGGTATTATAAAAGTAAACAAAATTTATTTTCCAATTTATCCAGTTCATAGTTAATTAAAAAAGATTCACTTAGTGTCAAAATTTGTTTTTACATAAGACTTAAGAATGACATTCTAATGATAAATCTATGCTAAGTGTCTATAAAGCTCCTTGCATATTTTTGAATAATGATGAAAAATTAAACAGCTTGTGGTAATTTAGACGGAATGTTGAAAAAGTAAGAGGAAATAAGTAAAGTTAGGACAGATAGTAAGGGCTTTAACATAGTTGTCACGTTTTTCTTTAATTAACCCTAGTGTCCAATTTACCCACCATAGCTTCACATGAGGTGTTTCTAAACATTTTAATAACAGTAAAAATGTTCTTCGTTCAACGCTTTAAATGTGATATTTTTATTCATTAATCAAAAATTTCAAATGTTACTACCATTTATATTAATTGGTCACACTGTGTATAGAAAAAAGACCCATACCAACCGATATTTAAATGGTGAATCTCACCATCATCCTTCACAGTTAGCTACCGTGGGTAAATCTTTGTTTCAGAGAGCACGAGGGATCTGTGACAGAAAACATCTGGCCGCCGAACTTCAGCACGTCAAGCAAGTATTGCAAGACAACAAGCTTCGGGTCCCGCGCCTACGTCACAGTGACCGAGTGAAGCCGGCCACAGTCGAGCGTGTACCTGCTGTACTACCATATGTCAGAGGAGTCCCAGACAAGGTTGGCTACATCTTGAAGCGAGCTTCCATTAAAACATACTACAAGCCGCCGAAGAAGATTAGTCAATTTTTACCATCCGTCAAGTGTAATATCCCTCTACAAGATGCAGGAGTGTAGATTGTGAATGTGGTCTCTCTTACATAGGTCAAACAAAAAGATCCATAAAAACCCGCGTGAAAGAACATATAGCTGACGTGAAGCACCGACGCTCCGGGAAGTCTGCAGTCGGCGAACATGTTCAAGATCGTCCCCACCATTACATTCGATTTGATAAACCACAAATTCTCGCAAAAGAACACCGATTCCTACGAAGGATGATACGCGAGGCTATTGAAATTAAAAAACATCCAAATTACAATAGAGAAGATGGATGGGTGCTGCCACCTACTTGGGATCCTATAATTAACAAAATTAAACCCAAACCTAAGCATACCACTGCAAGACTTCATGATACTATAAGCTCGTTTTGCGTAAATCGGACCAAAAATTAATATTCAAAAACTGAAGGTAGCCGGACTAACTATGACATTGGGACGTCAAACATCTCAGTCCCCCCGTGACCATGGTTGCTGTAAAGCACCCGAAACGTCGGGAATTAAAAAAAATTTAAAATAAGTAAAAGTAGTGAAATAAACGCGATAAAATCCGTAAATTTAGTTTTATTCAATAGGTAACACTTTGTTATTAATCGGTGCTGTTGGTTGTGTTTTTGCACCGTCGATTTTTTGGCTTTTAATCTCTCGCTTTGTTCAGGGCATTGGTGTCAGCACATCTGTAGTTGTGTTTGCAATCGTTGCAGACAGCTACAAAGGCGACGAAGAGGTGAAATTGATTGGAATCATGAATTCTGTTCTTACAGTTTGTAACGGTCTCCCCCCTCTATATAAGAATTTTATAATATTAAATATTAAATATATCCCCTTTTCAATAACATTATATATATGTTACCAAGATTAATAAAATATGTTTTGGTCTTTCTAAATGTTCTTTCTAAAGGTTTAATAATAGGCCGTTTGTAATATTTTTGGCGTGATCGTCTTAGTTAATACCCTTATTTACGTTGTGTTTGTTTAGTAACTTAGTTCTTTTAGGTGTCTTTTGGAAGAATGAATATTTGCTAGAGCAATTGAAAGCTGTTGGTAGTGCCTTATAATTTAAGTGAACCCCGTTCACGAAGACAGGGCTCGAGAAAGGATAAGAACGTAAAACGTCTTTATTCCACTTGTATCAGGTTGACATTATTAATTTATTATTATTTATCCCTTCCCGCTTGGAAAAGGCTCACAATATATTTATACAAAAATACCCAATACAAGGGCTTTCGCTCTCCTACATTTATTTAAAAAAATGTAGGGGAGGTACACGGCCCCACACACGCCGTGCACGGTGAGTGCCAACCATTTTGATGCACTCCCCCCGAAGGGAACGCTAATTCGGGAACTGGACCGTAGTCCACAGCAAAATAACTGGCGAACCAGTAGAAGGGGCTTGGCCCCTTGTTAGTGCGTAAGCACAAACATCGACCGAAGTCGCGCATGTCAATGCGTGTAAACGCCTTACAGAATACGAACGAATCCAGCCACAGTGAATGTACGTCACACGGTTTAGGCAAATAGGCACACTGGCCGTAAACCCTCCGTGAGCGCCACCACCTGCCAGACCGCCGCTCCTGCAGACGTGATGTAAGTGTATGGCATCACCACCAATTGCATGATCAGCACGGCTACTAGCCGCAGAGCCTGTCATGAGTCTACCGCTCACCTCAAGGGAATGGGGTCCCACGTTGTGCGGCTTTCGGCCGCAGCCTTGAGAGTCTCCTCAGATCCTCCCGCCAGCTACCACCCGCATGAGGTCGACACATAAAAGGCAGTTATAAGATAAGAGTAATAATTCGCCATCAGAAAGGGTTTGTGTCACTGACGTTGAGTAAATGCATTTTCGATCATGTTTGTCTCACCCACCAACAAGTTGCCTTCAATCATTCAAAGGTGGGAAAGTTACAGAGATATAATATTATGTTGTTATATAAAACATAGTGGAGGGCAGACAGTCTGCAGCCCCGCAATGAAGGGACCCGACTTGGCAAAGCTACTTAGGCGTGAGTCAAACCAAGACGCAGAGAGCACCATTGAGAATAGCGTCCCACCAAACAACCATCGCAGAGACGCAATGCTCCAGAACGCAACAAGCATCAATACGACTATCGTCGGGCTTACACCATTCCAAAGTCCCCCATACATCTCAGCAAACATCACCACCCGCATACCTCCATCGACCAGAACCACAAGAGAGCGTCGAATCAGGCGCAGCACACCCGTAGATCCATCACAAGACGCAATACCGCAAGTAGCAGTAAGCATCAATGCAACTATCATACGGATGGCGCCCCCTCACAACACAAGCACATGACCCCTATCGACTTTGGTAACAAAGTTGGTATTGTTGTTATATAAAAATATCACCAACGTATCGTAGTAGCACGCTACTAAGACGCCAATGAACAAAACTCCACGTATCATAGCGCTAATGCACTAAGACATGAAGTTGACTATGCCTGTTACACTTAAAAGTGCTACCAAACACACTCATCATCCACATCCGAAATATAGACGACGCATCGCTATGTGCTACTACGCCGCCCACAAACGGTATGGGTGTGCGATGTCCACGGGAAAGCCGTATTGCTACAACAAACCCGCTTACCACCGGCACTAAGATGTTATTTGTTTACCTCCATCGACCAGAACCACAAGAATGCGTCGAATCAGGCGCAGCACTCCCGCAGATCCATCACAAGACGCAATACCGCAAGTAGCAGTAAGCATCAATGCAACTATCATACGGATGGCGCCCCCTCACAACACACGCACATGATCCCTATCGACTTTGGTAACAAAGTTGGTATTGTTGTTATATAAAAATATCACCAACGTATCATAGTAGCACGCTACTAAGACGCCAATGAACAAAACTCCACGTATCATAGCGCTAATGCACTAAGACATGAAGTTGAGTATGCCTGTTACACTTAAAAGTGCTACCAAACACACTCTTAATCCCCATCCGAAAGATAGACGACACATCGCTATGCGCAACGACGTCGCCCACAAACGGTATGGGTGTGCGATGTCCACGGGAAAGCCGTATTGCTACAACAAACCCGCTTACCACCGGCACTAAGATTGTTGTTATATAAAACTGCACCAACGTATCATAGTAGCACGCTACTAAGACGCCAATGAACAAAACTCCACGTATCATAGCGCTAATGCACTAAGACATGAAGTTGAGTATGCCTGTTACACTTAAAAGTGCTACCAAACACACTCATCTTCCCAATCCGAAAGATAGACGACGCATCGCTATGCGCTACGACGCCGCCCACAACCGGTATGGGTGTGCGATGTCCACGGGAAAGCCGTATTGCTACAACAAACTCGCTTACCACCGGCACTAAGATGATATGTCTAGGACACATCGATTAGCGAGTCCAAGTTTACCTCGGACCAATTGCTCGTGAAGCAGCACACACGCCACTATAATATTCCTTTTCAAGTCCCTAATAAGGACTAGTCATTTTGCAACAGTACTAGGAGCAGTCAGTCACCCGATCACCCCACACAATGCTTATGCATCAAGGAGACCTCCTATAATATTGATTTTGTATCAAAGACCTTACTTTCATAAGTCATGCATATATAGGATTCGAACCCACGACCCTACTATTGTAATGCATATTAATCATAGAGACCTTTTATAGTATTGCTTTTGTATCATAGACCTTACTTTCATAAGTCATTAATATATAGGGTTCGAACCCACGACCCTACTATTGTAATGCAAATTCATCATGGAGACCTTCTATAGTATTGCTTTTGTATCATTGAGTTTAATATCATAAGTTCCTAATATAGGACTAGTCATTGTGCTACAGTACTTCAGGCAGTCGGGCTCCCGACCACCCCATATATTGTACAACTGCAGGAATGTATCTCCGGCAGCTTCCTCCATACAAGACGTCTATACGTGAACACCTTCCATAACTTAGGAAAATTTTCTTTAATACATGAACTCCTTCAACAACTTCAGAAATTTCATCTATACGTGAACTCCTTCCACAACTTAGAAAAATTTTCTTTTATACACGAACACCTCCCATAGCTTAAACAATTTTTAACAAATTTTCTAATTATCTTATAAACGTTATTTAACTTAATTTTATAATATTTTTTGACTTGTATTTCTATTATTTATCTTATTTTAAATATTTTTTTTCAAGTTTTTAAATAAATTTATTTATTACGAATAACAATAATTTTGCCTTTAATTTACTATGTTATTGGGATAATGCCTGAAATATATTAACTTTATGTTTATTAATTTAACTTAATTGCTTAATATATATCTTTTAAGACTATTTTTGACGCCCCTTTATATTGAATTTAATTATTAATAATAATATTGGGCCGTCACAAGTTGTCATGGCAATTGCGCCAGTGTTAGGCAGTTTCATTAATGAAATTGTAGAATGGCGTGGTAATTATGCAACTGTTGCAATACTTTGTTTGATCTCTTGGATTTTGCTGCTTTTTCTGTTACCAGAAACAAAAAAGAACCGCGATATTTTTAGTTTAAAAAAATTACGAAAGATTACAGAAAACTACTATCTAGTCCCAGGTTTGTTACGTTGTCTTTAATGTCAAGCCTCTTTTCTGCCGCTTATATGTCATTCATCACTTGTTGACTTTTTCTGTATATGAAGACTTTTGGTTTATCTAGCGCTGTTTATGCACTACATCAAGGTGCAATAGTTGGGTGCTTCTCACTCATTAGTCTATTTGCTGGCAAAATCTTATAGAAACTTGGAGCAATATGGTGTGTAATTTCTGTTACGAGCGTGGGTGCTATTGGTTCTCTATTGCTTGTAATATTCAGTATAATTGTACCCCACTCTTTCTACTTAGTAACACTTTCTATGATTATTTTTTCTATCAGTTGTGCAATTTGCCAGCCAGTGATTTTTAATGCATCAATAAATGTTTTCCCTGAAATTAAAGGCACAGCTTCTTCTGCATTCTCGTTCATTAGAGCTTTTATCATGGCTATTTTTATCGGCTTAACAAGCTACGTTTACAATGATCAAGCAATTAGTGTAGCTGTTCTTGTTCTATCCGCGATAGTACTAGAACTTGTTTTTACTGCCTGTTTATTGTTTATAAAAGATCCGGTATAATTAATGGTCTTTTTACAAGTGTGAGCGATTAACTTTCCCTGGCCAATCTTTCTGCTTCATTACGCGAAATTAATGCCTCAATAAATTCATCTAGTTCACCTTCTTTTATAATCTGCTCTAGCCGATGTGAAGTTAGATTAGTTCTGTGGTCTGTTATTCTTGATTATGGAAAATTATATGTTCTTATGCGCTCGGAACGATCACCAGAACCAATCTGACTTTTTCTCATTGTTGACCTTTCCATTTCTTTTTTTTGTCTTTCAATTTCGTATAGCCTTGCCCTCAATACTTTAAGCGCTTTAGCTTTATTTTTGTGCTGCGATTTTTTATCTTGCTGTATTACAATTATCCCTGTTGGCAAGTGGGTGACCCTTACTGCGTTGTCAGTTGTATTCACTGATTGCCCTCCAGGACCACTGGATCTATAAACATCTATTCGTAAGTCTTTTTCTTCTATTTTAAAGTCAACTTCTTCTACTTCAGGTAATATCGGAACAGTAGCGGCAGAGGTATGTAACCTTCCTGAGGATTCAGTTTCTGGCACTCTCTGTACTCTGTGTGCTCCTGATTCAAATTTCAACCTTGCAAAAACTTCTGTTCCATTAATGAGTGCAGAAGCTTCCTTATAGCCACCTATACCTGTATTAGAAATGCTTATTGGCTCGAACCTCCAATTTCTTCTTTCTGTATATTTTTGATACATACGAAATAACATTGCTGCAAATAATGCTGCTTCTTCTTCTCCTGTACCTGCTCTGATTTCCAATATTGCATTTCTTAAGTCATCTTCATCTTTAGGCAATAATGATAACTTTAGTTTTGCTTTTACTTTTGGTAATAATACCTTGTGCTTTTCGAAAAATTCTTCTTTTGCTCTTTTATATCACCTTCGCTGTTTTCATCTTTCATTATTTCCTCTAACTCTGAAATTTCCTCTTTCAGCGTGTTATATTCATCAATTATCTTGATTATTGGCCTGATCTCAGAGTATTCGTTTGAAAGGGTAATGAATTATTTTTGACTTAAATTGGCAGGGTTTTCCAAGTTCCTTTCTATATCACAAATTTTTTTCTTTATGTCTTGTAAACTATTCTCTATATTCATATAGCACAGATCTAGTATTTTAACTAAGTAATATATACTGAAATAAAAAATTTCTTATATAAAGCAATAACACTATAATATATATACTTCCTTCTACTTGAATATAATGGCAAGACAGATGACATCAAGCTGCAATTTCATATTTGGAGCTTCGGACATGAAATCATTACCAGATGAGTCGGCTCCAGAGATTGCGTTTGCTAGTAGATCAAATGTAGGAAAATCCAGTCTGATCAACTTACTGATAAACAGCAAAAAAGCTGCCAGAGTTTCCTCTAAACCTGGATGTAATAGACAAATAAGTTTTTACTCTATGTACAATGATAAATTCAGACTTGTTGACCTACCAGGGTATGGTTATTCTCATGCAGGTAAGGAGGAAATTATACAATATTTAAACTTAATTGAATATTATCTAATTCAAAGAAAAAATCTAAGAAGAGTGTTTGTGTTGATAGATAGCAAGGTAGGATTAAAAGAAATAGACAAAGACTTCATTTATTGGTTAATATATAATAATATTAACTTTAACGTTGTGCTAACAAAAATAGATAAAGTAAGTCAAAAAAGCCTAGATGCCATTTTAGAAGATACTCAAGAATGGATTAATAATGAGAATGTGTCAATTCATCAAATAAGCACCCGTAGTAAGCATAAAATAATCAAGGTAAGAGATGAGTTTTTCAAGTTTACAAGATAAAAAAATGAAAAGTAGTGAATTTTTAAAGGGTGAAGTATCATTTGAACAAAAAGCAGAAATATTACTTGAAGTGCTGCCTAGCATACCTAGCTTTGTGGGTGAAACTTTTGTCATTAAATGTGGCAGCGTAACGATCTCAGATGAAACACTATTCTATACTTTTGTGCATAATGTTGTCTTATTAAAGCAGCTTGGTATAAATCCTGTGATAGTTCATGACGGAGAATATGAAATTAACTCAGTGTTAAAAATGCTAGGTATGGACAGTAAGTTTGTGAATGGTATCAGACTTACAGACAAAGACTATACAAATCATTGAAATGGCACTGTGTGATTTAAAAAAGTTAATAAAAAAATTGTTCAGCATATAAATTCTGCTGGTGGTTCAGCTATTGGATTATGTGGAAAAGACGGCGACTTAATAAAAGCTGAAAAGATAAGCGCTACGTTTAAGGAAGACAGATCAAATAACATCGAAAAAATACTAGACATGGGATTCATCGGTAGGCCCACTGAAATCAATCCTGATATATTATTTTTTATTGAAGAATCAGATTTTATACCAGTTATTGCACCTATCGGTCATGGAAAAAATGGGGAAACATATCATATTGATGCCAATAGCACTGCAAGCACAATTGCAATTGCAGTTTCTGCATCTAAAATGATAATCTTTAGCGATACAGGTGAAGAAATAGATAAAATTGGTAGCAGGAGGATATCTGTTAAAAATTTAAATGCATCGATTGATTGTGGCAAGATTCAAGGAGAAATTTTATTGGAAGGATTATGGCATATACTAAAATGGTAGAGGAATGTGCTGGAGTTGTTCACATAGTTAATGGTAGAATACCTAACATTATGCTTGATTTATTTACTGAGAATAATTCAAGCATATCAATTGTGAGTGATTTATAACTAGACAACTACACGAATAGACTTCTTGCATAACTATATGACGAACTTTTCTTGGGAATAGAAACGAAAAAACTTACTTGAAAAACTCCGCCATCCCACTTATCATGACAGTGAAGCTGTTGTATTTGCTTTCGCCAATCTGCAGATTAAAAGGTAAGTATTACGAGTAATTAATGTATTGGCATCTTATGTAAAATTTTTGCAGTATATAGATGCTGTATGTCTTTACAAAACTTCATCTTCATCTAGATTTTTATCTTAATAAGATGAATGCGCTCATAAAGCGTTACAAGACATCAAAAAATGCCAATACTCGACAAAGATAGTAAAAGACTAGCTAACTCGGGGATTCTTTGTCTTTTTTTCTGCTTGGTAAATTTCTTGATATTTATAGCAACATGAACTGGGCAGGAAGGTGTCATTCCAGCGTGTGACCAGAAAAACATAGACCCTAAGTGTCAGTCACTTGAACAACATCACTTTGCTAAAAACACAAATTGCAACGTTTGTACACGGTATGAAATTAGCTATTGTGCTCACCTTTCCCCTTTCCCTTGAAACTAAAATCTATATACTTAACTTTAGAAACTTCAAAATACAATGCGATCTAACATTAGAGAGTTATTTTGCTATATAAAGCCTAATCTATCTTATTTCATCATAGCTTTCATTGCAGTTTTATTTTCAGCCTTAACGATCCTCCTCTTTGGCAGAGGCTTAAGCAACATAATTGATTCTAGCACAGAGCACGATTTTACTATCAAACTATTAGTTGCAATACTTATAGTTTTAGCCATTTCTCTCACTGCATTTACTCGGTTATATTTCATTGGCATTGGCAGCGAGAAAGGTATCGTAAGAATCAGATATGACTTATATAGCAGTATCACTGACTTGCAACCAAGTTTCTTTGAGAATACAGGCGTACAAGATGTTATCTCAGCACTCATTACTGCTACCTCTGCTCTGCAATCAATAATAAGTAGCAGCCTACTCACCATATTGCGAAATTTTGTAATATTAATCGGCAGTGTTGCCATGTTATTATATACAAATCTTCACCTAACTGCGTATGCAGCCGCAATGGTACCTGTACTACTCATTATTATGACCTTATTTGGAAAAAAGTGCGTAGCTATGCACGATTTGCCCAGGATAAATTAAGTAAGCTTGCATCACTTAGTGAGGAAAATTTTCGATCTATAGTGACTATCAAATCGTTTGTACTCGAAGAAAATGAAAAAACCCGTTTTAACCCGTTTTAAATACTCCTTGTATTTAAACTCAGTATCAAAATCATACGTAAAATTAGTACTCTTGCGTGCTATTTTAGTAACTCTAGTTATCACGTGTGTGATAGGTTCACTAGTTGTTTTGCTCTTTTTTGGTATTAAAGAAGTCTTAAACAATAATATAACTATTGGAGAACTCTCCTCATTTGTGTTTTATTCAGCACTTGCGGCAGGAGCTATAAATAATTTGAGCGATAATATCAGTGACTTACAACGAGGTCTTGGAATAGTAGAGCGTTTATTTAAATTTTAAAATATGAAAAGCTCTATAGCAGATGCTAATGATCCTATAAAAATTTGTAGTGTTCAAAAAGGAATTTCGTTTAATGGCGTAACATTTTTTATGAATCTCAGTCTGATAAGCCAGCGTTAAATAACGTATCATTTTCTATAAAGGCAGGTCAAGTAGTATCAATTGTTGGATCATCTGGCAGTGGTAAAAGCACCATTTGAAAACTTCTGCTCCGTTTTCATGATCCAAGCAGAGGCAGCATTACTATCGATGGGCACAATATTAAGTCAATTGGGTTAAATGACCTTAGATTGTTGTTTGGCTTAGTGCCACAAGATAACATAATATTCTCTTGCTCAATAATGGAAAATATACTATATGGCAAACCTGGTGCTGAATATGAAGAAGTGAAGCAAGCAGCTATCAGCGCTTATGCGATGGAATTTATTGATAAGCTGCCTGATAAATTTGATACATTTGTAGGAAAAAGAGGATTAAAACTTTCTGAAGGACAAAAACAACGTATTATAATAGCAAGGGCCATACTCAAAAACCCTCAGGTTTTAATACTGGATGAGGCAACATCTGCCCTTGATTATAAAAGTGAGAGCCTCGTACAAAAAGCATTAAGCAAGTTAATGCAAAACAGAACAACGATCGTAATTACACACAGACTATCAACTGCACTTAAAACTGACAAGATTATAGTAATTAATCACGGGAAAGTCATTGTCTTTCACAAATGGTTGTCCCTAAAGCTAAAGTACCGGATGTTCTACAGCTGTACCATAATGATTATTCAGGAGGCCATCTGGGAGTTAAACGAACTCTACTGAAGATCCGAGAACGGTTTTACGGGGTCCACTGTCGAAACGATGTGAGGATTGGTGTCGCAAATGTACAAGTTGTGCGGCTGTAAAGGGACCTCAGACTCGTAGTAGAGGTGCATTGAAGTTGTACAATGTTGGTGCACCATGGGAGAGAATAGCTATTGACGTGGCGGGGCCGTTTCCGGAGAGTGAAAGCGGTAACAAGTATTTCATGGTTGTGATGGATTACTTCACTAAGTGGCCAGAAGTCTTCGCCATTCCAAATCAAGAAGCTTCAACAGTTGCTGATAAGCTAGTTCATGAAGTCTTCTGTCGTTTTGGTGTACCTTTAGAGATTCACAGCGATCAAGGAAGGAATTTTGAGTCTCAAATATTCCAGGAAACTTGCCGAGTTATGGGTACTCATAAAACAAGAACGACTTCTTATCACCCGCAATCTGATGGAATGGTAGAACGATTTAATCAGACATTGGAGAGGTACCTAGCAAAAGTTGTAGACAATCGGCAACGAGATTGGGACAAGCACATACAACCGTTTTTGTTGTCATATCGAAGCGCTGTTCACGAAAGTACAGCAGTGACACCAGCTTTCGCAAACTTTGGAAGAGAATTACGGCTGCCTGCAGACCTGATCACCGGGATACCACCTGATGCCCCAAGCAGTATAACCGATTATGCAAATGACTTGCGGAACAAAATGAATGACGTTTATGAGCACGTCAGACAATCGGGCCAGCAAATGTCTGAAAAGATGAAAACCCGGTATGACCGCAAAATGAACAACAAAGGGTTCGACGAAGGTTCACTTGTGTGGTTACACAATCCAGTCCGCA